TAAAAAAGTAATAATAATACTGTTGATTATGTTAACAATCATTAAGTAGTTATGTATCATTTTTTAAAAGATTAAACAAAATGAATATGAAATGGATAATCTGTAATACAGAAATGTAAATCTCTGAAGAAAATGAAAGATTTCATTGAATATATGTATATATATATACATCATTTGTTGTATAAGTGAAGTCTGAAGTTGATTGTTTTCTACAATAGCATAACTTGAAACAGACAAGATAAACAATGAAAAAAATGTTAATCGATTAAGATAATAAATCATGATCTTATTTGAACAAAATCAATCAAGCTTATTACATCGGTCATAAAATATCCTATTTACACAATGATGTAACAATGTAATTAATAGTGAAAAGATTAATCTGATTAAAAGAAATACTGTTTATATAGAAAAAAAGAAGGTAATAATGATAAGTATTGAATGTAAAGATTGTGAAAACTGCATCGTTTATTTTTGAGAGAGAGATTATTAATTTGACCAACAATAGAGAAGAAGAAGAAAGTTACTTGTCAATTAATCGCTAAATAATTGACATGAATTGTTTGTGTAAAAGGAGTATGAACAACTTTAACTTTTTAAAAATCGTACAGTTACGATGACTCTTATCTTTATTAGAAGATAAAACATACGGATACTTTATTCAAAATTAACAGAAACATTTACAACTTTGACATAGAAAAAACACTAAGAGGTGAGACTATAATGTATGGACGACATTTGAGTGTTGCTAAACTGACCTTGGGAGTGTCCATCTAACAACTAGAAACAAATATAGATTATAAACCAGTATGAGGAATTAGAACTATGATGTACAGTTGATGGTTAAGGTTAGGAATTAGATTTAAGATTTTCATCACGAACTGACATCAGCTATAATGAGAAAACTTTATTTAACCAAATGAATAAGTGAATTTTGCAACAAAATCCGAAACCTATTTTCTTATACTTGGTTGGTTCGTCCATAAATTATAGTGTCGTTACACTAAAAAAGTATTTAGTTAGAATTAAATTCTTGTAGAACCTATTTTCATGCAAATTATTGTTTGAGGATCAACAAAAACCAGACGATATAAATAATAATTAAGTTATACACGAATTTAGTTTTCGTTATATTCATACAAAACTAATATTGTGTCAGATGGGTTTATTATTTATAAGTTAAAAGGATAGCCAAATATTTATTATCTAATACTGTTACCTAAATATTTGTGACCAGATTTCCCAGTGTACTGAACATAATACAATTCATTCATTCTGAATAACCAAATACATACTTATACGATTCGATGTAAAAGTATAGAACAAGCTAGTAGATGACAATCTATATGTATATCAGTATTAGACAAAAACTATATCCTAATACTTTAATTTATGTGTCGAAATTCATTCAGACTGGAGGCACTTAGATTTATCGGCTGAAAATCAGAACGATTATTTTTGTTCATGTAGATTCACATTATCAAAGGAATTACATCTTGTAAGGTATTTTTCTAGAGTGATATATATAACCACTTGGGAAATATGAATGGTTCAATCGAAATAACTGTTTAGTACTTTTTTAATGATTGCCCAGTTAGAGTTTGTTTATGGTGCAAACCATTTTTAAATTAAATAAGAATCAAATAAACTTGTTAAATTAATGACAACATTTTAATATCGATAATTTTATAGAAAATTTATGTGTACAGATGTATGTATAACTGAAAAAAGTTATTTCAATACTTGTAAAACAGCTAAACTTGATCTCACGACGGTTTATTATCATAAACAATACGAAGCAATTATTTGATAATCGATTCTCTGATCCTGATGGTATCCGAAAAAAACTAATTCAGTACAGCTATGTGTGCAATAAAACATGGAATACAAGATATTTTTCATCATCAACGTCTTTGATAACAGTTATTAAAAATGTTAGATGATAAGGGAGCTTGCCCAGAAATTAAATCTAGGCCTCATAAACGGTGATGAAAACAAATGATAAGATTTCTTATGAATCATTATGGGTATTTAATTCAATTAGTCAAGTTGTAAAAATTGATCTGCAGTGGACCCAATAACAAGATGATACTGGCACATTTATAATCTCAATAGTGAAGCAAATATGATACATTGTTTAGACCTTACTTAGAAGACATTGATGTAACAACGATAAAAACTTAAGTAAACGGAATATATTCATTAAGACTTAAAATAATGAAGACTCGTTCAGCAAAAAGTTCTCTTTACGGTGAATTCATTTTCAAAGTTGTGCAATTGCATATATGTATAGTTATTTTTCAAGATAATAATAGTAATTGCAATAATATTGATAATAAACTTCTGTTAAACATGGTAACAATGAGGTAAAATAAACAAGCCTCACTGTTACCATGTTTAACAGAAGTTTATTATCAATATTATTTAAATTATTATCATCCTGAAAAATAATTATACATATTTGCGATTGTACAGCTTTGAAAATGAATTCACTGAACGAATCTTTCTTATTTTATAATAAAACCTTACATATGCATTCTTTATCATTGACAAACATAATTTGACTTTTTATGTTTTAAATAATTATTGTATGATATCAAGTCCTCAACGATATATAAGATAAGCTATGTAAATCAGTATCGAGTTTTACTATAACTTTTGTTTGATGGTTGCAAACAAATGGTAGGCAGCCCTGGCTTCAGATCCTATGCATACATATACAAAACAAATCTAACATGGATTAGTCAACCCAGTTACTGACCCTTCCAACAAAGAAATTTCTTCGAATTACTAAGCATCACATTCAAACAAGTATTTAGACATAATCTGTTAGAGGAATACTATTCAGATGTTATAACACTTGTGAGATACATATAAATTTAATTCTCAAATTGTTTTTTCCTAACTTCTACCTGTCTATAATATAGTCCTTGTGCCATTTATACTATTTACAATACCTTATCATTCTTCTGTTTCAATTAACTCTAATCAACAGAATAATTTGACATATTTAGGGATATTCACTGATTAAAAACTTATGAAACCATTGATCAGTAATAAAATTACAAGTGAAAAAGAAAGTATGTTCTAAAGTATGATACCTTTTGACTTTCTTGTGTTTATTTCTCTATTATAACTTGATTTGTTTATGTATCACATATCTATTGCTAAAACTGTTTATTCATTCTTATTACAATTGGCAATCTATATGAAAATGAATTGTATTTACATCCTGAATATAGTTATCATTTCAAATGATTGAAAATACATGTAACACATCTTAATCAGTTGATTATAGACTTCTAATAAAATAATTATCCTTTATGTTTGATAGAAATAAACATACAGTGATTTCATTCATTTAGTTAAAGTGATTTTTTTCGTTAGTTCTTGACATTAGATTACTTTAGTGGAAAACATATATAGATCAGTGATTTTTGTCATAAACGTTAGTCTTTTTTCCTTTGCTCTATTTAATTAAATGAAAAATACTACTGATTTTGTTTCTTTTCATGAATCAATGGTATATATATAAAGATAGAAAAGTAGTTTTGTAAATAAAAGAAAACCCCTTCTGATATTAATCAATATATGCTCACTAGTGACTGGCTTCAAGGTGTATATCCTGGAGTTCTAGTGAGATAGTAACTCACTGAAGACAATGGTGGATGTGCCGCTCAATTTCGTGGTTTAGTTGAAGCTAGACATTAACACCGTTGGATACCGGACCAGTAGTCTAGTGGTAAAGTGCTCGTGATCAAGACTGATAGGTCCTTGGTTCGAATCTCGCGAGGCGAGGTCGTGGATAGGCACTGCTTTGGAGTCCCACAATAGGACGAAATGGCCGTCCAGTGCTTCCAGGTTTTCCATAGTGATCTAGCTTCAATTGACACATGATCCGAACTATTCAGATCATAAAAATATTTCAAAAGTAAAGACTTAGTGGCATAAATTCCTAAAATCTTAATTTCTGGATTTTATATTATTCAACTAAACATTTTTAGATTTTTAAACATTAAAAAAGTGTAGTTAGATTATTGCAAGTGAACAGTAAAAAAGGTGGTTGCACTAATAATATTGTCATTTTAAAATATTGCGAGCCAATTGTAATTTTCAATATGAAAGTTATTTTGAGATCAGTAAGATAACTCCGATATTTTTATTTATTTTGTTGATTTTATTTCGTTGTATTAATGTGGTATGTTAACTTGGGACAAGCAACATCTACGTTGATGATTGATTTCAATCAATGAAAATTTATAACTTAATTAATTGGTTTGCCATATTTTTCTAGTATCTTAAAACTAGTTTCAACACTATTCATTCAGTCGTCTCATGATAAGCGGGAAATGTCCCGAAGATATCTATGATTAGATATCAGCAATCTACTTATGTCTATCACTTATAAAATCCATATTTTATACATATAGAGAAATATAGAGTTGATTGCCTCAATTTACAATTTTTTTTCTATCCGAAATTCCTGTTGATACATAATAATAAAAGGTTGATGTTAAAAGAGTAAAACAAATTTTTCTTTACATGAAAATAAGGATTTCCCCATATTTATTTAATGATAATAATAATAATGAATAATGGTGGCGGTACAAGCAATCATTTGTTAAATAAAATCAAAATTTTCATCTTTATTGCTAAAAAACATTGGAATATTCATTAATGGTTGTGTATGTACGTGTAGGTGTTTTTTTCTCGCTAAATATGTATATGCGTGTCCGTTTGAAACACTTGCATATGCATTAGTATGGTATTCATGGAAGAATTAAAAAGCGAACATTTTACACACTCATATATGTAATAATAATAGTAATAATAATAATAATAATAATAATATAGAAGAGAACAATGATAATAGTAAATCATTACGACAGGATAAGGCACTTCCCCACTTTCTCTCTTTTCAATTGACCAACAATAGTCGAATGTTTAGCATCTTGCATTATAAATATAATCAAGTGAAATAAATTATTTACTAAATCAGCCCCCATCCCAAACAAAAAAGATAAGCAAAATAAGTCTAAGAAAACAAGACAGGAAGATTAACAGGAACAAATGAGAGTTTGGTAAAAACAGAAGACTGGAGAACAAAAAAAGGTCGGCAGCAATAAACACATGGGTATACAAGGAGATTTACATTTCGTTTAACATATAATCATAATGTTATTCGATTAATTTTAAAATGTTTGTGTATCTGTACAATTCTCAGTTATATGATCATCAAATATACCACAATTGTCACAGTATAAACGATTTGTTGTTGTTACAGATGAATTCTGTTTAGAAATTTTATGAAAGTTTTTTAAAGATGACTTTCTAGGGATTTCATCATGGATTATTGAGTTTTTAATCATACCATTAGTGGTATAATGTTGATGTGGGTGATTATTCCCATTTGTCTGTGAGCAGTCTTTTGTATCATGACTATCAAATACAAGACAATTATCACACCATAGACGTGTAGGTGGTGGATTACGTGATTTGATATGTTTATTAGAAAGTAAGCTGAAAATAGAAGAGTAAAATAATAATGATTAGATAATTGAACTGAAAAGATAATTTTATTTTAACAGTTAAAAACTAGATCATTCTGAATTACGTGTAATATTTGTACATAAGTTGTACTGATCATGGATTGATATCTCAGTCGACGTATTATTGAAAATTATAGAGTACTTGGTACTGGCCCTGTATAAATACCTCAACTGAGATTAATTTATGACGAGTACAAACCACAAATTCAACTAATCTCCAAGATTCTCTACAATTAGAATTTATCTATTTATTTGTCTTTGAACAAGAAAACTCCTCTAGGTATGTAACCTTACGAGAGCAATAATTTAAGTTATACATTAGAAAGTTAAATACCCATTAAGAAAAAACATGTATATAATCAAAATGGGACCGAATATATTGATTAAAAGCTGACTGAAAATAACATTGTTTATTTTGGTACTCCGATTCAAGAATAAAAGTAGGTTTTCTTCCCAGTGATATTCCGTGTGTATGCATGAAGTTGTTAAATAAATATGTAATCTTATAATATGATAACTAAGTATGCATGTGCTTAAGGATATTTATGACAAGAGTTAGAATGAATAGTATATGAACTCAAATGCACACACAATATATTTTACAAGAAAAATGAGATGTCAAACAATATTGGAAATGAAAAGAAAAAACTAAAATTGTTCAACCGGTTGAAAAATTAAAAAGAAAAACAGTTTCGTATCTTAGAACGATAAATTAATTCACATTCCACTAAGAAGAAAACAACATTAACCAGGTAATTGATCAGCTCGATATTAAAAGGGACGGAAGAAGTTTCATTCTACCATCGAATAACTCTTAGTTTCACATCCACATGTAAAAAAGGACTATATTTTATGATATATGAAATTTGTTTAGTAAGTGATATAACGAACGATTTTAAGCCTTTTTTCTCTTCGGTATACCATGCTACTAGGATGGATTGAATGATTGGATTTACAATACCGCCAGATTGGATACTCGAACAACCCATATATGCAGACTAGATGACGTTACATAAGAGGCCAGATTTGCGACCAAAATAGAGTACCAGAATAATGGTAGGCAATGCTTCATTCAACACAATAACAAGCAGTCACTCTCAGATATTATGGAGTAGAAGTCACTAAAAGGAAAAAAGTCACATATTTAATAGTCAGTAAGTTGCGTGTTTGTTTGTCCACACTCAGTAACTAATCACATTTACTTCCACTATCACACATTGGTAAGTAGTAACCGTAGTAACCTTATTAGTGAATGACCTCGAGATGCATTCATTGTTGTTTTAATGAGAATCCATGATCTGTGGAATTCCAAGAGACTAGATTTTGACAGCAATTAATTGACAACACTGTATAAGGACAGTGCTATAACATCATGGATTAATTAAAGTAGAAATTTAGAAATACTGAGATCCTGACACAGTAGGTCAATTACATCAAGCTTATTGCCAGATAGAAGAGTTTTATGTTAAATACTATGTGTAGTTTTGAATGAGCACTACTTAGAAGCAATAATCTAGGAAAAAGTAAATATCAATAACTCAGTATGAAGATCGCTTACAAATTTTACAAAGTCTACATGAATCCACAATAATAATACTTCAACAGTTGTGCAAAACAATACACATTATGATAATGGTAATAATAGTAATTTTCCATTTGAAAACAGCGAATTCTTTTAACATACGTACGGTTTTCTTAAGTAACTTACTCCTATGTGATTGAGTAAAAAACAAAGATTTCATTGATACTTTCACAGTATATAACTTTTATTTATGAACAATGAATAGTATTTATGTAGAAGAGCCATAGATTATTCAATGCTTATCGAGTAGCGTTCATTTAAATAAGCAATTTGCAGACAATACAGAAGATCACTGCATAGTATCCAAAAGAAACTTATTTACATACAATAAATAAAACAATCGTAGAAAAGATTTGACAATGAACATACACAAATATTCAAAGAAATCTAAGGGATTAGGGTTGAAAAAGAGAAAATTGAATAAATAATAATAAAATATTCATAATTTATGGATGATAAATAATAACATTGTGTTTAATCCTGAGTAATTTTCCTGAATATAACTGGGAAATCATGGGTAACACATTACATAGTTCTTTTTTTTTCAATTTAGTCCTACTTCAGTCAGCATTTTGTAAATGGATAGATAGTAACAACGAAATGACATATGTACAACACATATATGAGTTCTAAATCTTCTTTACTATTTCAAAATTAGTATCATCAGCAGTAATGCACAAACGTAACAAAATATCAACCAAACAACACGTCCTATAGACATACCACATTTTAATCTTATGCCTAGTTAGTACGAAAGACAAAAGAAAGTATGTGTGTGTAGCAAAACATTAGAGTACCCAGGGCTTACAAAGATATTCACTATCTTTTTGCCAACAATGAAAGTAAAAAAATATCGGTAGTAAGAATGATGAAGTTAAGCGATCGAACATACTGTGAATTAACTGATAAAGTATAATTGTGGATTTATAAAGATATAGAAGAAAATATGAATTTCTATTATTTAGCAACCTCTTGGAAGATCTTTCTTCAGAAAAATAAGTAACTTTTATACATTAACATAGGAAAAGATTGTAAAACGAACTAATCTAATTTAAAATATCAATGAATGACAGACAAATATAAACATTTCAATGTCACATTTATTGACAGTGACTAAATGTGAGTGGCATTTAATGTGTAGCTCTATGTATATCACAAAGTGTACGTGAAGATGAGATTCACAGTGAAAATGGATGATTTGATTCAAAATTGCTTTGCTTTATTTGAAATTTGTGTGAGTTGAGAGAATATTCACATAATAAGTAAACATATCTACAGGACTTCAAAAGCTAAGAGTTTATAGATTTTTGGAAGATATTTCTAGATGACCATTATTAAGATGTTACTTTCTTTATCTCTCTCATTTTACAATGTAACTGTGAAATTATATTTTCGTTGAAAAAAATAACGAATATAAAACGTCAAAACTCCATTTTTCCCATCCACTAAGCACGATATTACGAATATATGTGACGTTAATGAGATACCTCAACCTATTATTCACGTCATATTTAATGTACAGTAATTTTTTCAACAATCAATAACACTTTCAAATTATTTAACTAATAATATCAACTTACTCTAGTTGTTCATCTGTTCCGACAAGCATTGCTCGTACACGAGATTCTAGTTCAGCATTTTTAGCATGTAGATCAACAATGATGGAATTGAGAAAATTCACTTGTGATTCAGTTGAAGCCTTTTCTTCAATTAATCGGTTTATATCAGACTGTCCACATTGATTTGCTGTATTAAAAAAAGGGGGAAAAACAGGAGTAATGAAAACCTAGATTCGCTTGTCTGCAAACAACAATTAAGCATATTACTTGTAATGGTTTGTTGCTTTTAAAGACAATCATAAGAGACTGATTAATTGTAGTTCTTAGGATTAAATAAGGAAAAACTGTGATTTGTAGTCGTTATACAAACTAGCAGCTATCTGGAATCAGTAGCTCAGTAAGTAATGTGCTGATTGTTCGAAGCGAAAAGTATTAAGTTCGAATCTAAGAGTGAACATCAATACTGGGATACAAAATGTGCATCCACCTGACGAGCCCCAAATACCACCACCTAGTTGCAGGATTTGGAAGTAATCAGTCATTGGAGGGTCGGGGTCTTTGACCACTAAACTATGGTCTTACATAAAACATGTAGATCACTGGATCAATCTCAAGAATATCAATCTGTTTCGCGTATCATTTATATTTTTTAGGAGTTTTCCCAGTCCATTATGAATTCGCCTTATGCGAAAAAAGTATAAACTATCGACACAGTGTTTCAAAGGTATCCTGTTGGCAGCAAGATTTGGAAATCCTGGATTTTGATCCGGTCAGATACGGCCAACGTGGATGCTTACAGTTGATGAACGACTTTAAAACTAAAAAGAAACAGCTACTGAACGAAGTGTAATTCTTTAGGTATGTCCCCTTAAGAAGAAAATTACGGTATGATATTTAAATAGTCCAACATCAATTATGAATTACAAGTTTGCTAACTATATTGACATGTATGGATTCATAACTCCACTTTTAGAACAATGTTAATATCATTCAGTAACCAAGTAAACACTATTGCTACAGATAAAGTCCACCTGCCACTATTAATATAAATTGAAGGATTAGTGATTCTGAAGATGAACCAAAAGATTACGTCAACATCACATAAATAATATTTTAGTAAATGTCTCATAATGAATTGAAGAATGAATTCATTACATGGACAAGTACACTAAGTATAATGCATATGTACTCAGCAGTGTAAAAGTTTATATAATAACCAGAGGAATCATGTACTACATTAACGTAAAACAATGTTATCACATGATATCAGTTTGCATTTTTGTACATTAGAGTATATGATATCAGTACCAGCATAACTATCCGCGTTTTAAAGTGATACACACATGCATACACATACACGTGTATGTATGAGTTGATAGAATAACAACAGATACAGACAAAAAGAGAGCGATTAGTATGAGAAATATCTTTGAATTAATAGACAGTCAACTTGGCTATGAGCCAAAAAAACGCCAATAATGTATACGTTCACATCGATCAGCAGAAACCTAGACATACACACAATAGTGTTTTTTTCTTAACAAAAATACGGAAAGAAAAGAGACCAATTTTATATGTGCTCATCACAAAACAGTAAAGAGAAAAATAAAGGCGAGAAATTTGATGTATACTTTTAAAGAATTAAATGTTCAGTAAACATATTTCCATGCATGAAGAGATTTATACGGAAGCAATCTTAAACACACACACACACATGGAGTGTAAAAACAGAACGCAACGCGCACTTTTTTTGATTCTTAAACTCATGGATTAAACAGAAAGATTTAGATAAGTTGAAAATGTTTTTTTTGTGAAAAGAACAACTTATCGAAAAGATGAGTTTTATATATTTTTTTCATTGTCTTCATAGTCAAAGAAGATTATAAATGAATAATTCAATGAATAAATAAACTATGTCCTAAGATAAATAAATTAGTCAAGAAAGGAGAAAGATGCGAAGTTTTGACGAAAAACTAGAGAATAATCACACAACAATAAAGAATAAGGCGCACTTTCTTTTTTTTCTTCATTGGAACAATGACTAGAATCTGTTAGAAAGCATACTGTTATAAATAAAATATGGTTTACAGAAAAGATACATGCAAATAACAAATAATCAAAATAATAATTACTTCCAATAGTCAAAAATACCCAAGTTCAATTTATGGAAAAGTGTATATGAGAAGAAAACTCTTAAGTAAAAATCGAAAAAATCTTAGAAATAATGATCTTAAATTGTTAAGAGGTATTATAATGCAAATATTTCATTGATAATTATAGTGTAATAAATCCTACTTAGAACAAATTAAGTAGTTAATAGGCAGATAAACAATACATTATTATAATTTACGGTATTAAAAAACAAACTGTAACCTATTGTCTTAAACTCAATGTATCTGTACGAAAAAAAAGAGTGAATAATTTAACATTACATTGTGACTCTTTTTCTATTTAAATACATACACTTCATAAGTATTCTTGATAACACACCTTGAATTGAATAGTTAAATTATATTTAACATGCTTATTTCTATAACTATCCATTTTTATTTATAATTTTATTAAAAAATTAAATACTACTTAATTCTGAATGATTGCCCACATTAAAATTAAACAATTTCCATAACTACAGTAATCATATATATAATAATGATTAAGTTTAATAAGTAAGCAACTAATAATTATTTATAAATCTAGGCATAATCTTATGATATTGTTTCTTGTCTTTGTTTTATTTCAAAATGTATTCTTCATTTGAATATGCAACTAATTAAAATTTACTCTATTTTTTTTAAATAATGAAAATAGTTAATCTCTTTGATGTTTATTAGAAGCTTTTAATTAAATTGGCGCGTAATATACACTTTTGAACAGAGAATTGATCACAACTAAAGAAGATATATATCTATATAAACTAAATATAATAAGTATAAGGGATAATCAGACATGATTCACATAATTATTGATATAAAAGTAATTAGGATTAATATTATCATGATAAGTTTCTTGTTAATTTAAAATGTTTTTGAATAATTAAATATTGGGAAATTAAATTGTTCAATAGTAATGTACTCGATAAATTATAAATTAATCATCACAATACCATAATGGATATATTCAGATTGAAACTATGATTTATTTGTGATATAATTTTAAATACAAGGGAGGAAGAATCTTTGTCATTTTCTGTTATTGGACAACTGGAATTTATTCATATTAAGTGTTCTCAACTTTATTCGTCTTTTAACCATCTGTAAATACACATAAAACTTACTTCATTCCATGCAAGTGAATCTACAGACATATAAGTGGATGTGACGTGATCATTTACAAGTCGCTTCATTGTTTTTTTTATGATAACAAACTGAATTGTGTAATTTGGTCCTACTTAACTTCGATTTAAACCCTCAAAGGCCTTGTGGATTAGACATTTAGGTCAAAGATTCGGGGTAGCGCCTCGTAAGAGAACCACCTGCTTTGGTCTGGGGATCGGGGTAGTATTCCAACCCTCACACAAATCAATGATAACTACTACTGGCCTCATTGTAACTGTGTGGCGCATATGCATTTTATAGCTTCCGTGTAGAAATGTTTATGTGATCAAATAAATATGTTTCAACTTAAGGGTGCCCGAATCAATTATTGATCGAAGTGTGGTGTAGATATCTTATCTAAGTACCAAAACTGAAAACGCTCTTGACAGTGGTAGTTATGAATCCTGATGAGTGCACTCATTTCGTATCAATATTTTATTTGACAGTCGTCATTTTTCCCATAGGTTTTTTATACAAGCATGATGCATTCTATTAAAAAAAACTTATCGAACTACTTCATCTAAGATACTATCCTGTCTCTCCTTACGTTTTATGAAAAACCTTGTCTGATCAATGCAGTGGTTCATCTTTCGCTGTTTATTCGTTTAACTTATAAACACGTAACGTTTAGTGATTATGAGACAACTACTTAGCATCTGTCACAAATATATATCCAATCAATGTATCGTCTCATAAATAGGCATCATTCAACCCAAACTACCTTACAATTTACAACTATCAGGTCAATATCAAGATGACACATTATCGGTGGTTAGAAAAAAATAACCAAAATTATTAGTAATTAACCATGTCCGAACTGATAGGTACTGGAATTTCTGTTGCAAACCAGTTTTCGCCAATTAAGTTTATACTTCAATATATATTCAGTAAAAAAAATAATCGGTTTACCTTTTGTTAAATTAAAAACAATGCAAACAGAATTAATTTTGTTGGAATCAGTAATTACCATTCATTTTTCGACTCAATAATAGATCTGATGAAATCACTGTGAGTATTTAACCACCACGTTAAACTTAGTATTTCGCTACTCTTCTCTGTCTTCAGTGTCAGCTCATATGCTACTAACATTTCTTTGTAAATCGCCGAGTTGGACTTGCGTATCGGGTTATTCATAATATGAACGAAGTGGCATGTGTTGATTAGAAACATGCTCTATGAGAAAAACATTCCAAATTCAGATGTTTATTACCTTATAACATTTCCTAATGATTTTAAGACTGTAGGATAACAGCGCATTTTTTATTATCACATTTACACTAAGCTTGACTGAAATTTGAACGAGCATCGATGATTACAATCTAAAACATTTTATCATTTACAATCATAAAAACATTTAAAAAATCCACTTAAATAATCAAACTTTATCAATCATTCTACAAATAACTGATATTATGAATGGGTACGATCTTACTAAGCTCAGTTGACGAATTTGGTTGGTGTTCAAGTAAACGATTTTCTGCCTCTTTAATTCGCTCCAACAATACTTGTTTCTCAGATTCTAAAGCTGTTATGGTATGGTTGTGTACTTTCTCAAGCTCCATTTGCTGATTATATACGGAAGGTAGAAAGCCAATAGAAAAAAAGGATGTTAGTGTATGAGTTATATAAAGAGTGAACAATGTTAAAGATGATCAGAACACTTATACACAAATTGAACGACTAACAAAATGAAACGACAATCAAATAAAAATTAAGAGAAATACAACCATATGTCTACAAAACGTTTGGTGATTATGATAAGGTGTATTTTAAATGCTACTTGTTATGAGACTCCTGTTACGATATAGGATTTATATATTCCAGTACAGTAAACGTAATTTACGAATAATATTCAACTGACCTAACCGTTTTATATATAGAGCTCCTTTTTAATTATTTAAAAAGAGCAAAAACAAAGATTTTGACAGAACAGTATGAACACATCTGTTATAGTTCTGTACCAAAATTATAAAAGTGCATACGGAAATAATGTTATTCAATACGAGCCATCTTGATATGGCAAAGGCATAAATAAATTTGAAAGAATCCTTGATTGAAAGTGAATTCAGTAGAAATACGTTTAGCTTTTTATATTACTAATAAGTAGTTGATATTTTATTACAGCTTTTTCTTGACTTAGCGAAGTTGTATCCATTTTTAAGTATCATCTGTAATAACAAGATGAAAATTATCACTACAATATGATATATTAGTGCAATACATTTCGAATAATCTGATAACATACATACTTGTTAAGAACATTTATATATGGAAAATAAAAGGTCAACTATACAAATGGAATGTGAAGGTAAGAGGAACAAGGGTCATAAAAAACGATGTGAAAACAATGTGAAACGCCATCCTGGATAATATAACAATAGTGCCAGGGTGAGTTTGGAGTGAGATCAATCGCTTTTTTATATATTTAAACGGGGTTTGGATTTTCGTATTGGTGTAAAATGACTATACTTTGAAATTCATAACATTCACTTAGATCGTTAATAACAAAAATCCAATCAAATGACCCAATAAGAGAAGACAATAAACATCCATCATCATCTATTGCCAAACAAATACTTGGAACAGTTCGTAGGATGGATCTTGATTCGATTTTTGTGGTCTTGTACAAAATTATTCAACGGCTAATACTAAGGTTTAATGAAGCCTTGGCTATAAGAAAATTCAGATTCCGTTTACGTATTAAAAAAAACAATTTGTTCCTACTCCAAACTCACCCTGGCAATATTGTTATATTATCCAGGATGGCGTTTCACATTGTTTTCCCGATCGAAGCTGCTACCTTGACGCGGTGGTCGGGCTTGCCTATCGTGATGACCCAACCGAGCTATATTGGCTGGAACATATGTTCCTGAAGGTTCTACCATGCCAGGCAGGTCGATTGGCGAACGGTAAGACTAAAAGCAGCAACTCAAGGTCTGAGGGCGAAGTCGTACTGCTGACTGTAGAGAGGTGTGACAGCAGTAAGGTGTTTCCCTCGGACAACCAGCATGACAGCAATGCTGCCTTCCCACAAGGAGGGGTGGGGTTAGAAAAGGTCGACCCTAAAAATGCACACCTCACCTTACCTCACGGATTTCCGTCTCCGGCGGTAAGGCCCTTTGAAGAACGGAGCTAACACGTCAAAAACCTTCCACAAAAAGGCCGTGCGCGACCGGCCTCAAGCAGTTGTCCCTTGGGCTCTCCGGTCACGCTCCCAGGTCGTCAAGACCAACACTAATCCAATTTCCTTTTCAGGTTCATCAAGAAATACCCTTCCACGGTGTGGGCAGCCGGGAAGTGACATCAGCACAAGAGACCAAGGTGGTCACATTCAAATCCTTCCTACACCTCTTAATACCTCTCTTATCCTCCCGACTAACCCTCCTCACGTCTCTTTATCACCTCGCACCGCTAGGGCAAACGATTCGAGTACGTGGAACGCCATTCCTGGTCTCCTAAAACCACGCTCTAAACTACACGTAGGAGCTTTTAACGTACGAACACTGTGCCAAATAGGACAGCAGGCTTCCTTAGCTAGGACTTTAGAATCTCGCGCCATCGATGTGTGCTGCGTCTCCGAAACGCGCATACAAGATCCGAGTAGCGTCATTCATTTGACCTCACCATGCCAAAATAAAGAACCGACTCAATTTACGCTTCGTGTATCTGGAAGCCCTGATTCTGCTTCCCGTGGCCTCGCCGGCGTAGGTATAGCATTGAGTCCTAGGGCAGAACTAGCTCTCTTAGAGTGGATCCCAGTAAACAGTCGCTTGTGCGCTGTCCGACTGAACGGAACAGTAAGAATCCGGAAAGATAGGGACACTCGTCGTTGCCTCTTCGTCGTCTCTTCCTATTCTCCCACTGACTGCAGCTCAGATGATGTAAAAGATGAGTTTTACAGAAAGCTTTCGGACCTTCTCCGAAAAGCTAAGCGCTCGGATGTAGTAATAGTGGCCGGTGACTTTAATGCTCAAGTAGGTAAACTAAGCGATAAGGAAAGACACCTAGGTGGATCCTATGGTGTCGTGGCTCAAAGAACAGATAATGGCGACCGTCTGTTGCAGCTATGCTCAGATAACCGCCTGTTCCTTGTAAATACTAACTTTAAGCATAAGGAAAAACATCTTTTAACATGGCGACCCCCTAATTCGTCCCAACGTTGGACCCAAATAGATCACATCGCTATCAGCCACCGATGGAGGGGCTCGATAGAAGACTGTCGCTCATTCTGGAGCACATGCCTAGATTCAGATCATGCTCTAGTGCGAGCGCGTATTTGCTTGCGTCTTACTGGACGTAGGAAAGACGCTGCAAGGAAACCTCTTAGGGCCCTACTTAATGATAGTCAAGCTAAGAATATATTTCAGGAACAACTAGGAAAACAGTTAGGCAGCCATGTATGTGATGCCCACCCCGAGGCAGCATGGAACGATATCCGAAAAGCTGTGGAAACATCGCACTGATAGATGCTCGAAAACTCATTCTGTGGTGTGAGCTACTTATATTCATATAAGTAGTATATGACGTGCGTTAAATAAACGTAAGGTCCGGCAGCAGAAGATGGCGAAGATCAAGAAAGGAAGAGCAAGAGCACAATGGAATTGTAAGAAAACACGTGTACAATGGAATGGGAGACAATGGATTAGTGTTTGCAACGGGAACAGTACAGTTTGATATGATGGAATGATATTTTGCAAATTGACGATTGACTTTATGGTATTCATATTTTATTCAGATAGTCTGTAATCTTTGTGCTAAATACAGTCGATTGTCCCCACCCGTGTTCTTGTTCACTACAATTCCACCAGGCTTTGAACATAATGAAGAGCGGAGTCAGCTTAAGCGCAAGCTGACAAGAAGTCTACGCAATGATCGCGAACAGTGGTGGGTAGCGAAAGCAAGAGAGATGGAAAAGGCAGCGGCAATAGGTAATAGCAGACAATTGTTTAGACTCGTTAAGGAAACCGGAATTAGGAACTCGACCGTTAGCGAAACAATCTCAGAGAAAGATGGACATATTATTCATTCTCGATCCAGGAGATTGGATCGATGGGCAGAACACTTTAGGGATCAGTTCAACTGGCCTTCAGCCACACTTCGGTTTCCCACGATCTCCAGTCAACCTGAATGGCAAGTTAATGTAAGTCCTCCGTCCCTTTACGAAGTTGAAAAAGCCATAGGAAATCTGAAACGAGGGAGAGCAGCAGGCCCTGACAGGTTTACTCCTGAGATTTTTAAGGACGGTGGTCCAGTATTAGCAGCAAGATTAACCGAGGTCTTAGGTAGAATTTGGGAACTGGACGTAATCCCATCTGACTGGTCTCAATCACTGATTGTGCCAGTTTTTAAGAAAGGACAAAAGTCCTCTTGTGACAATCACAGAGGAATCAGTTTGACTAATATAGTGTCTAAAATATTGGCCTCAATAATACTTCGACGCCTAACTAAAGCTCGTGAAGAGCAGACTAGAGAAAACCAGGCTGGTTTTCGACCTGGACGTGGTTGTATAGATCAGATATTCACACTACGTCAGGTTCTAGAACAGAGACACACATTCAGACGCCCCACAATAGTAGTATTTCTCGACCTTAAGGCGGCATTCGACTCCGTTGATCGTGAGGTTCTATGGCAGTGTTTGTCACTGAAAGGAGTACCAAAGAAGTACATTAACCTTATAAAGGCTCTCTACTCGAACACAACTGGTAGAGTGAGAGCTTATGGCGAACTGTCATCAGAATTGATCACCTCAAGTGGTGTTCGTCAGGGCTGTTCACTCTCCCCATTCTTGTTCAACTTTGTCATTGACGTACTTTTAGAGATAACACTCTCCTCATCTAAATTTACAGGGGTTGAACTTCTACCAGGAGGTTCACTTGTTGACTTAGAATATGCAGATGACATAGTTTTATTTGGTGAAGACGCTGACAAAATGCAGAGTCTTCTGACCACTCTAAGCAACAATGCAAGCATGTTCGGGATGCGATTCTCTCCCTCGAAATGCAAAATGTTGCTTCAGGATTGGGTTACATCGACACCCGAACTAGTGATAGGGAGTGAAGTAGTTGAGTGTGTCGACCGCTTCACTTATCTTGGAAGTCTCATCAGCCCTTGTGGTTTGGTGTGTGACGAAATCTCAGCACGGATACAGAAGGCTCGACTAGCTTTTGCCAACTTGCGTCATTTATGGCGTAGGCGAGATATCCGTCTATCAACCAAAGGACGTGTTTACTGCGCAGCAGTTCGTTCCGTCCTACTTTATGGCAGTGAAACATGGCCGGTAAGAGTAGAGGATATCCGTAGGTTACTAGTATTCGATCATAGGTGTCTTCGAAACATTGCTCGTATATCATGGGACCATCGAGTAAGTAACACAGTTGTTAGGAAACGGGTACTAGGTAAGGATGGCAAATCAATTGATGAAGTAGTGAAACTTCATCAGTTGAGATGGCTGGGACACGTGTTACGTATGCCCAACGACCGACTGCCTCGACGTGCTATGTTCAGTGGTATAGGAGTAAGTTGGAAGAAAGCTAGGGGCGGCCAGACCAAAACATGGCACAAGTCCATGAAGTCACTGACAAGTGAACTGAGTCATGTTGGTAGGTGTAGACTACCTGGTTGGGGACCGCGAGATGACAGCAACCGATGGTTAGAGACCCTGAATGACATGGCTCAAAATCGTTTGCAATGGCGCAGGTGCATCCACTCTCTGTGTTCTCCCAAGTACTAATCTTCTGAATTCTTCATGTCCCTTTGTTCCTCTTTCCAAATTTCTTTCACTGGATTATACTCTTTAAATAACATCTCCAAACCCTAATCTTCCCGATTACTGCTTATACTCTTGCTACCTCTACCACTACGGGATTTGAATCGACAAGTGCATCTCTGTGCTAATGTGGTGTTGCAACTCGAACTGATGTACGTACGTACGAAGTTCTACGTTGTTACTGACTGACTGACTGACTGACTTCACATTGTTTTCACATCGTTTTTTATGACCCTTGTTCCTCTTACCTTCACATTCCATTTGTATAGTTGTCCTTTTATTTTCCATATATAAATGTTCTTAACAAGTATGTATGTTATCAGATTATTCGAAATGTATTGCACTAATATATCATATTATAATGATAATTTTCATCTTATTACACTATAATACGTCCCCCAATGTTTTAATTAATATCTGGAATGAAAGTGTGAAATTTGAGCTAATGACATGAAAACGAAGAATTCTAATTTTTATTCAAGTGATATAAAAAGTGACGTCAGATGCTACATCGGGATAAGAACAATTAAATGAAATACTAATTAGTAGTAATGGACGAAAGAGATGTTTCGAATGTTCTACTTTAATATACAGCATCAATCCTCCAATATACAGAGGTCCTATGGCGTGAGATCAACATCCGACAACCTCGAAAGTTTGGAAATATCGATTTTAAGTTAAACAGAGGATTCCAAACTTTCTTGAATTATGTATACCAAATAAATAACTGGAATAGATATGTTTGAAAATTAAGGTTTTTCTTTTTTATCCAGGGGTCATTATTAAAGAATTTTTGTCTGACTATCATATTCAATCCTACATACTTGATAATGACCTACATATTGGTAAGTATATTTATTAGTTATTTGTAAATAAATCAAAATAACGTTTCTTCTCAAAAAGAAAAACACAACTATACACAAAGAAATAAGTTAAAATTATTCACAGATAAGAAATGGCGTACTTCATTTAGAACTTTATCCAACTGTGATTGAATAGTTTGTAATTCATTCGATTTGATTTCAAGTTGACTAAATGCATTAGAAGCACTTTTCTCTAATGAAAACATTCTGTATTAAAATATAAATGAATAATAATTTGAGAAAAAAGAATATCTTTGATTTTACAGACTAAAAAAAGTTATACATTGGTTATTTTGTGACGAAATACTTGGTATGTGAACGAAAGTTACACTAATTAACGGATTGAAAAAGGAACAGCATCTAGATTATAAAGAAAAATATTCAACAATTATTTGTCAACGAATTATCCGATTATTGAAGTAAATTCATTTTTATTGTAAATCATTTACTAAAAAACAAATTCCTGTATTCAACTTTGAGTTATATTGTAGACAAGGAGTTGCGATAAACAATAGTTAACTGTCTTATGAATTTTTTCATTAATCAAAATGACACATATCACCAAGGTATAAGCGTTATAAACCTAACAGACAGATACTGAACAAACAATGTGTAACAACAGAAAGCTACACAAAATAGAAAACAAAATAATAATAATAATAATAATAATAATAATAATAATAATAATAATAGAATACCATTTAATTATCGATAGACTAACAGATACTAATGACAATGTTCATTTAAGTGTAACGTACATATTTCTTCAGAAAACAGTTTTTCTGTTTCTTTATTATAAGATATTGTAGAGATTTTTGGATATCATAGTTTATAACAAAGATTGATGTTGATTAGACAACACCTAAAAAGCAGAAGGCGCTGAATAGTTGCTTTATTTTAATATGGGACTTTCATTCACGACCCCTTTTAGGATTGATCTTAAGACCTTCAGATCTTCCTACGTGTACTTAATTATTATTACATTAAAGCAAGAACATATTTCACAAACACATTCACATACAAATTAAACTTACTTTTGTCGTGCATTATCAAGTTCTTCTTTCAAGGTTGAATTATCCATTTGTATCTGGTCAAAAATGAATCAAAGTTCAAACCAATAAGGGTACAAATAAAATAGCTCGAATGTTGTCTGAATATCTTCGTGAATAGTTAAAAATCTATAACTTAATCAAGTCAAAAGGACTGTTTTATATCATTCCTTTAGAACTGAGATAAAAGTGGTCGGCTTTGTTTTATAAGTAGTATTTACTTCTTATCTCTAGAAATAACATAAAACAGTTGTCATACATAAATTCTAGTAAAACATGGATTCCCATTGAAACATTTAGAAAATAAGGCGAATAAAGCGAAGAAATAACTCCATTCAATTAGATTCACATCACGGCTCTAAACTAATATATATATATATATATATATATATATATATATATATATATATATATATAATGTGATTAGTGAGTAGCTTCAAGATGCAATTCTTGGTGTTCTACTAGGAAGCTATGACCAGAAGAGTTTAACCGTGTTGGTTGTGAGACAGTTATTCACAAAAGGTAATGAAAGATAGCCGCGCAGCATCGTGAAGTGACTGAAATTACAAAATACTCTAAAGAGCGAACGTTTACATACGAGACCTGAGGTACTAGGTTAGATTTCACGGATGCGTACTCTTGAAGAGTCTCATATTAGGACAGAACGGCCGTCTAATGCTTCCAGGTTTTAAGCTGTGGTCTAACAAAGATCAGTTCACGATTTTAAAAAATCTTAAAATTCTATAATCTTCATAAAACCTTATACTGGTTAACATACACGTTTAACAATAATAGTAAGAGTGACACCAATTGAATAGACACGTGTTAAATAATAATAATAGCATTTCAAATTCAACGGTTTATTAAATTACCAAGAATAATGAAGTGAATAAAAGATGAGCTGGATCAAGATATTAATACCCAAAGGTGTTAATAAATAAACGAATGAAGTGGAACATGAAATTTAAGGATTGACACACTGTATAAAATAATGAAGTAAAATCGATAAAATAATGATAAGTTGAAAATTAATATCAATTATATTTTCAAAATATTATTGCGTAACACACCACTAGATTGATACCGGTTTCACTATCACAATTAAGGATATATATGTAGAAATTAGTGAAGAACTCTGATCGAAACCAAATCTAAAAGAAATATTTTTTCGCAGTTTCCATAGTTTTTTCGGAATTTTAGCCTAGCCAATCCACGTTTCCAGTAAACAGTGAGTTATTCATTAGTGCTAAAACACTGATGTTACAGCTCATATGAACTTAATCGATATAGGACTAGACAAATGACATGGGTCACTACAACTCAGTGATCAGTAATTCGTAAATACCTCAATCCTAGTGGAGGTTGCCGTCCGAACAACTCAATGGTCAGATCTAAGATTGTGAGGCTGGTTAGAGCGCGTTCAAATCACAAGGAGGTCAGATTCCTCATGACTGCGAGTACGTTTAAATGATGGGTAACAACCGGGACATCTAGGTCGAGAGCTTCGTGCCGACTACCAAAACTTTTAGGTGCATACAAACGGAACTAAGGTCAAAATACGAAAGTCTAAAGGGAAAAGGTAGCAGACAAAACACGGTTATAACATTCCAAATTGTTGTTCATTGTGTATGTAAAACCACATACAAATCAAAGTTATCGGGGTTAGTCACATAACGATGCAGTAGCATCAAAATTATATAAACGTTAATAACCTTAGGTAACATAATTTGACAGTCATTACTTTGTCACAAATAAACATTACCACATATTTATATAAATTATAACAAGACCATTCCTTATTACCACAAAATTTATGACCAAGTTTTTATTTATAAATATATGTTCAGCTTCTAGTATTGATATTTCCCTAAAAAACAGTATTATTTACCGTACTGTACGTCTACAAACAACTGATTTAGTTCATAAAGAAAAAAGCAGGAAAAGAAGGTCAGCAAAACACTAAGAAGTGATTGCATATTGTCATTATACTTCCTCCATCTATTATTATTCACGAAGGGCTCTATTGTACTTTGTTCAGAGCAAGGATGTGGAAAAGAACCAACTGTATAGAACTATAACACTAAATGTGACATGAAACATAATAGATACAATTTAGAAGTGAAGCATATCAATTCATACATTCATGTGAATAAATGTCACAATATGTAATATATCATTCAGTCCTCTTCCAAACCTAAATTCTATTCACGGAAACACAGATATTACAACTGATGTAAGTTATTCAACTAAAACGGCCACATTACATTATGCTTGGGGGTTGATGAACGATACGTACTTGTTGAGCCCCCGAATGCCTAAATAGGGCCGAGAGTGGGGAGAGTCAGCTCTTCCTCTTAAAAAGTTCTCACACGGCGACGTATATACAGCCAATGACAGGTAAGTCCTAATCACTGCCTCCCCGTAGCGAGGGTGTTGTTTACGAAATTGAGAGGATGAAAAGCGAATGTCCGACGCTTCAACCGGGTTGGTGGACATAGAGGATCTAACTAGGGGATGTTGAAAACACTGATTTCAAACCAGTGGTGTACATGGTCTCCAGGATCCTGAAGGAAAAAATGGCGTATGAGCCAATTATCGGTCACCCGCTACCATGGAATTGCATCTCATTACGTTACTCCACTGTCTTGTGGATCAGACTTTTTGGTCGAAGGCCTCGGGTATGGCTCCCTAAGGAAACCACTTGTTTCGGTCTGGACACCTGGGCAGTATCACAGCCCACTCATAAATCAAATGAGTGTATTCGGTGCCCCTCTTACCCGATATTTATGTGTCCAAATAAAATAAATAAATATAAACGTACTTGTTTTATCGGCAAAAAATGAAAGTTTGTGTAAATAAATTTCAGCTACTTAAAAGAAACAAGTAGTAAAAACATCATAAAAATGTAGCAGTCTTCCAAAAAAAATTACGAAAAATTACGAGACATATATATATATATATATATATATATATATATATATATATGAATCAATACTCAAACATTTTTTTCGTATTGGTGAAATAGAAGGGTTATTATACGTATTACTCAGGGAAACTACTACAATGTGAGATAAATATCATTTAAAATTGTGCATTAAAACAAAATGATAAACCTAGACGAAATATTTGTGCTTTTAGCTTGAATACACAGAACAACTTACTTCACTGGAATTTTTCAAAGTCACATTGATTCTTGTCAGCTCACTCTCAAGATCATTACGCTCACTTTCTAGTGTTTGACAATATTTTTCTAAATCTTGACGAACTTTTTCCTGTCCGGATCTGATCGAAATAAAATGAAAGAAGGAATATTTACATCACGTAAATTGTCATATTCTATCAAATTAGTTAACTAATGATAAATGAATCCTGAACAAGACGAATAAATCCAAGATATTTTGGTTTAATGGTTAACTCAGGTACAGATTTAAGCTAGTGATACTACCTGAGTGTCAATACTAAAATCGGCGGAACGAAGTTCGAACGTCCAACTTAGTAATTGAAAGTCAAACATCTTAACTACTGAGCCATCAATTCCAATAACAGGCTGTATGAGTTATTTCTCTACATATTCATAATATCGTTACTAAGAAGTTTAATATATTGCCCAATATTTATAGTATTCTTTTGTAGAAGCAGAGTTGTACCTTATCATTTATGAGAAGTTACAGTATAGTACTTTGACTGACCGGGTCGTAAACTAGAACTATCCTAAAACCACTTCAGTTTTGGTCAAGCAAGTTTTCAATCATAGTACACGAACCTTGAGCTATCGCATAAACATTTTGATTCAGAATCGCTCTAACATATTTCACTGTTACAATAACCAGTAATTAAAAAATAATAACAAACAAATGAACACGGGATGAATCAATGTATTACTGTTAGGAAGATTCACTATGAGAAGTACATAATGAATTATTTGGTGTTCTATAGAAAGTACAAATTTTGGTGAACCAAAAAAAATCCAGTTTTTCTGGCAAGTATCTGTAGAAATTTAACTAAATAGTCCTAGAAGAATATTAAAGCAAATAATTGTAACTACAAAAAAATATACTATTTCAATGTATTTCCTAAGCGACGAAAATGGACAGCTATAACTAAAGAAATACATATGACGAAAAATACGAATCGTGAAAGGTTTCATTATAATTAACAAAAGTATACTTTTGGTACAATTAAAGCCAACTTGACCTATCTGACAATATTGTATTTGAGAAACTGAAAGCCTAATGAAAAAAAACATTAACTAACATATATAATTAGAGATTTTAGAAAAAGGATGTTGATATTGGCATTTGAAGTAATAGAAATGTTATCGAATATACGATTGCAGCAGCATTCACATTGTTTAGTGCACCTTTGGTTTTAAATGATTTCTCTAATGATATTAACCCATGACTAGAGTGATCTATCCTTAACTGAAACTAATCTCCCATAAACCGCTAAACTAGGATATGATCCTAACGTGACAAACTGAACTTAAAAGAAAATTGCGATATTTCACTAACAGGTAGACTTCATAGAAGAAAACGACAAAAAAATGAGGTTGGACACTCATTATCACATAAAATGATCTCTTTGTAACAAAAAAAATACACACAACATTAAATTTAATAGATAAACGTTAGATCTCAATTGAACTTACATTTGTTCTTTTAAATCATTAATACGGTTACATAAAATTGTTGATAAATTCTCTGCATTTCCAGTTAAAGATAAATCACCTAGAACTTTAGAAATATCTTCAACTAATTGATCACGTTTCAAATGGGCACTATTTAATTCAGTAAGTAATTCTTCTTGTTTTATTCTAGATTCATTCAATTCTATTTTTAATTTATTTAAGTAATTTTCAACCTCATTAAGTTTATTGTTAGACTGAAATGAATAAAAAAATTGAGGATTAATGTATTTATGTAAAGGCGATAAACTAAATATATGTCACAACATAACCCAATCTTTGTTTCTAAGTATAAAGACGCTTGTAAAGACTCCGGAATTTTGAAGCTTTACATCATCAACTGACTGTAGCTGGACAATTAGTGAAAACCAACATTTATTTATTTATTTTATTTTAGCACATAGATATTGGTACAAGAAGACACCAAATACATATGCGCCACACAAATCTCATTTGATATGTGTGAGGGCTGGGATACTGCCCGGGTTCCCAAACCGAAACAGTTGGGTTTTTTTTAGGGGGCAACACCCAGAGCCTTCGCATGAAGATCTGATCCACAAGACAGTGGAGCAATGTAAGAAGATGCAGTCCCATGGTAGTCGGTGACCAAAGATTGGTTCATACGCCATTTTATCCTTCGGGATCCTGGAGCCCATGTACACCATTGATTTGGAATCAGGGTTTTCCAACTCCCCTAGGTGAACTGTCCATATCCACTAAGCCGGGTAAAGCGCCGGACATTCGCTTTTCGTCCTCTCAATTTCGTAAACAACACCCCCGCCACGATAATACAGTGGGTGGGACTTCCCTGACAGAGGCTATATACGCGTGGCCGTGTGAGAGCATTTCGAGAGGGAGAGCGGACTCTCCCTCACTCTCGGCCGTACCAGGGTATTTGAGGGCAGTGAAAACCAACACTGCAAATTTACAACATTGCGAGAGACCTGAACCTGGTTTTCAATGACTATCTAGCTACAGTTAATGTAGCCTCAATCAGAGCTGGAATACCTGGGAGCAGAAGACTGAATTGAAGATAACATAAAGGAAGCCAGATAGTAATCAAAATAACAACAGAACTAGAGGAATAATAGAGTAGGTAAAGGACAAATATAAAGAAAAGAACTCTGATACATAGTCGCAAACCACTATTACATCAGATCAAAATAACCCCTTTAATTGGCCAAACAAAAACACATTGTATAGAAGTGAGATAAAAACTACTACATTATAGCTGAATTGCGTATAATGATTGCAATAAATCTCCATCTCTTATTCTTGTGTAGATTTGTTATTAATAACAATTGAATGATACACAAAAAATGCAACACATATATTCGCACTACAGATAAATTCAATGTACATATCGAGCAAGCCGAGAAACTATCAATTGATCAGTATCAAATTCAAATTATTTTGACATCTAGTTTGACTAGGACATATTCGTTAAGAAACAGTATACACATTGAATGCCAATTATTTACAACAACAAAAAATATATATTAACAAATACTAAACTATAAAATTTAATTAACATACATTCTCTTTATCTTGATTCAGTGCTATAGTTTGTAGTTGAATATTAAGCAATTGATCTTTTTGTTCATTGAATAGTTCTTCTTGTACTTTAAGTTTTTCCAATAATAACTGAATAGTCTCTTGATTAGTAACAGCATCAACATCATCATTATTGATTTTGTTAATTAATTGTAAATTATTCACTTCTTCTATTTGTACAGAATGAAATGATTCGGCAGCCGATAAAACATTATTCTGTAAATTATGAATTCACCAATAAATGGATAAACAGGAACAAATTAGAAAACAGAATAATTATTGCCCTTATATATAATAGTAAAACAAATGGCACACATAAAAACAATAGAAATTGAAGAGAATTATCTCAGTCAATGGAACCAATTATTTATATTTATTCAAACCAATATGCATACATATAGACATTTATTAAATATAAGCGGATTAAACTGCATGAGAGATTGACGTGCATTTAAGCAGTAACAAAAGGGAAATAAATACTTTTTTTAAATGATTGTAGTGTTTGATAACAATCAAACAATTACAAGTGATTATTGAAATACCTGAAACTGTGAAAGAGAAAAAAGCATAATCATTTTGATAATGTTAATCAATAATAAAAATTAATATCACATTTGGTTAAACTAATAAATACCTGATAAGAATTATTTATCAAGAGTATAAGTATTCTATCGAATCATCACAATCACAAACCATTTTATAATAGTAGTTGAGTAGAAGAATAATGCATACAATTTTCTATACAGTTATCATAACCCCAAAATATTAGAGACAAGGCAAACAATTCAATCAATCGAATCGAAGAAAAAAGAAAGAAGATGATCTATTGTACCAGATCACACATACGTACACATTTAATCATTAGAGTGCACAAGTTGAAAAATGTTCCATACATCACCACTATTTACGTGTGTACTTTTATAATAATAACAATAAGAAGAAATTGTCAACACACATTCACCCTGTACATAATTCACTATAGTTCATTGTAATTTATGATAATACGTAGAAAAACAAAAGACAATGCATTAATAGAAATGAAAGGAAATACTAATTTCACAGTAAAACAATGCAAAATTCTTAAGATCATTACCGTAAAAAAGTGAGAAATTAACAGATGTAGCATATATAATAGATAGGTTAAGATAGGTTAGAAGAAAGACAAATAGGATGAAGTTCCGTTTCAAATCCTCTTTTCTACACATTTAATTATTGTTTATATTTGTAGAATATCATACTCTTTTCTCAATTTAATATAAAAATATATGTATTAAGATGAATATAGATAATATTTAAGAAAAGAATACCGTGAACAAAAGTAGATAAAGTATTTGAAAGCAAGTGAAACCATATTAGTATTCAGTATTAATGATCCATTGGTGTGTATGTGCAAGTAGATGAATGCTTAAAAAAAGAATTAGTTGTCTTACTTCACATATCAAGAATGAATAATGTCATCACTACAAATAGAAAAATATTAAATAACATTCAGATATTATGGATCAGGAAATATGTGTATGTGTTATCAAATCTTGAATATATATATCGCTACATTATGCAACCACAATAATAATGAAGTAAGGAAACACAGATTGGTATATTCAACTGTGGGACAATTTATTTATTTCAAAGGAAATTTCGCACAACTAGGTACCAAAAATAGAATGCCCTACATAAAATTTATGTGTTGACTAGAATATTGTCGGGTGCCGAACCAAAGTACGTGGTTTTCTTAGGGAACAACTCCCTGAGCCTCTGGTCTAGGGATCTAAACCACAAGGTAGAAAAGGAAGGTCATGTGCTTTTATCCTATGGTGACCGGTGACCACGAATGGTTTTATAAGTCACTCGTTCTTTTGGGATTCTGAAACCTATGTACATCATTGGTTCGGAATCAGTTTTCCGACTTATCCAGCTTGACTCTTCGTATACACTACATAGGTTTAAACATAGGACGTTCACTATTCGTTCTCCTATCCACTCTAGGTTAGTAGGACGTTCCTGGCAGAGGCTCTAAAAACAATACAGTATGCGAGCACTTCGAGAAGACCATTTACACTCTCGACCATATCAGGACATTTGTGGATTCTACAACTGTACGGGACAAAACATAACTAAACGTTACGATACGAACGCCAGTAGAAATGACTAAGTGACGTTTGAAACTATAGTTACTAACCCGTCACTTTACATTCAGGTAGAACTAAAAATGCTGAAAAGCTAAAATCAAGAAAACCACTGACGGGAAAGTAAAAAACACCAATGGTGTCAAACAAGACAAAACGATATTCATTTGTGCGTAATTTAGTTTACACTATGAATCCTCATAAATTCCATTAGACAGCGATATAAAAAAGACGGTACAAATTAATCAATACGACAAACTTCAATAAACAATAAATACCTTAAGAACAGATTATCAATATGTACATATAACATGAAATTTATCCAATACTGCAGATGGTGTATGGTAAAAAAAAAAAGTAGTACACCACCATATTGTAGAAACAAGATTCTGTGGTAATTGAAACATCGGAAATAAACAGTTAAGTAGATCTGCCACATCATGATGATTGACAGCGGGGTGAAGATGAAAATAATTTACTTTTCATTTAAAAAAAGAGATTTTGTGAACAAAATGAATCATTATTTGGAAAATTGACAAACAGACAATTAGTAGACAAAAAATTCATCTTTTCAACCCATCAAAAACACTGAATAAGAGAGGACAAAATTACATTTGATAATGAAAAGCGATTAAATGGTTCTTATTGACTAGTTTAACAACAGAATAGATTATACAGTGAGGTCGTTTCGACCACATAGTACCAGGAATCAAGATATGGAGTATATAATTTTCTGTCTCACTAGCCAATGAAAGTGCTGTTTCCTACTTTACCAGAGAATGATTGATGTGGAAACGAAGGGACAATCAAGTATGAGACATTTTGCAAATGAAGTATTTTTGTATGGTTCTCAGATTTTACTAAGTGATTCTGTAATTTTGTATTCAAATACATTCGATTGTGCCCACTGTTATTCTCGTTCACTACACTGCATGCTAAACGGAAAATGTGACGTACTACAATTCTACTTCATAGTTCCACGGTATAATAATCGTTACGACAAAAAAGCTATTCATTACTTCTCAGTATCCAAAGCTTATTTAGATGATGTCAATTCTCTAAGGAAATCATTTACAAATCAGTAAACCATTCTCCAGATTTATTTTCAACAGCAAAGAATAAGATCTTATCATTATTACACAAACAATCGATCCTATTACATGACAATTCTGGAAGTTAGACGTTTTCACAATTATTACTGTTATGATTAATCTGTCAGAAATATAACAATATTAAACCAACGAATTAACAACACTTTGACGAACTTACAAGGAATTTCATTCACTCACGAGTAATTATTTTTTCTTTGGATAAATACAAAATTTTAAAAACACTACTCTCATCACTTAAAGCTTTTTTTTCAAACATGGTATTTATATACATATCTAAACTTTTAAACATAAAAATTACAAATAATAAGGTGATGATATATCCGTGATATTCCAATAAGTAGACATTTAAATTTCTAACATATCCTGACTTTATTCGAGTAAATAAATGACGAAAATAAGTTTTTTCCATAAGTTTTGAAACAGGACATCAAACATCCTAGTGATGAGTTCCATATATACTTGTAATATCATCAAGATATGATTCACTATAGTTTCACAGTGTATTTGTTACTTTTAAAGTCAGTAATAAAAACATGACAATTGAAGTTGAAATGATAGAGAAAAGTGAATGGTCATTGATTCAATAGTAACCTTTATTTTCATTATTTAGGAACAATTTTCTATCAGATAGATGACACTTTAAAAAAGTGAATATTTTGTGAAGAAATGGTAAGTTTAGTTCTCTAAAAAATCAATTCGATTGGCCAGAGACAGTATCTTCCGAAGAATGTTCAGCTAGAATTTAGCCAGCATATTATCAATAGTCATATCAGTCATTTTGCCAGTGAAATGCACCATTAAAACGATTATAGTACACATATAACGAAAATAAACAAATCTGCACAAATATCCGAAACATTGAAATGTACACCAGAAAATGATCCCACTACTAAAATTAGGAATAACTCACTTAGGTTACTAAAATGTTTGATAGTACAACGTGCAGTAGGAATTTTTAAGACAAATGACAGTGATTAGCAGTGGTTTGTAGGACTTGTATTACGTTTCAGTTGGGACTTGTCATTAGGATGTATATGGAGCCCAATGATGTTCACACTGGGACTTTAATCCAGTGCTTTTCGCTTCAAACACCAAACGTGTTATCCACTTAGCTACTGAGTTCACATAAGTGGATAATGAGTTGATTTTTCGGCGTAAAATAAATGGATTTGAGTTCCAGTGCAAACATCAACACTGAGATAAAGTGACATCCAGCTGATGAGTTCCAGATAAGATGAAAGGCGATTCCTAAAGTCCACGGCTAGCAACTATCAAATTTTGCTTTAAAATGCTTGTGACTTGATAGTAATATTAAGGTAATCCATTCAGGATGGACATATACTAAGAGAATAATCTACTCCAGTCCTTAGTATCAACGAACGGGAGGATGCGAACCCTTAAAATGACTTGAAACAATAACTGTTTACGAAAGCACAAAACGATACTACAGCTATGGATACGAAAGTATTTAATGCTGAAATGTTGAGAATGAACAATATTTTAAACAAGATTTAGCCTATTCATTTTTTCACTATCCATGACGATAGCACATAACACAAAGTTTTTGAATAAATTATGGATAATTGTTATACAATCATATGAAGAAAAGGAAATGACTAAATTGAATAAAAATGTACCATACTGTTATTTTAAACACTTTCCTTTATTATATCTCGTTTTTCCTAAGTTTAAAGAGTGATTATGTGTTTAATGTGAATGGATAAATTATTAAACATCATCATAATGTCTTCGTTTCTTTAAGTCATATAGCATCGATACAACCCATTATTGTGATATACACGTAAGTGGTTGCTGATACATAAAACTGTATATTAATATCCAGATAATCAAAAGATTTAGTCATCTGACTGATAATTATTGCAGGACGTACCACTAAAATGAGTGATTATCCAGGTCGAACTAAGCAAATGTATTTATAAGAGTTGCTAAGAATCTTTTTAAATGTTCATAAATCAATGTAGCAAGCATAGAAGTTGAACATTCTTTATGTCTAAAAACTATTTCAAGCCAAACCGAATACTTTGTAGTGAAACAATCTTAACATTGATGGGTTTCACTATTGTTCACTTTCCAATGTAGTATTCTTCAACGTTTATTGCTTGTTAAGCAAATGTTTATATAAAATACGTGTGTGAGTAAATGATGAGGGATTTATTATCTAAAGCTATTTCGCATTTCTCATAAATTACAAATTCTAGTAAAGTTAGTAATTAATTATTTCAATGAAGAGTTACGCCTATAGCAGAATAAAATTCCGATATCTATTAACATAGAGTAATCCAACTTAGATGAAAGTTCTCACATTCTTTGCTAAGCGTATGTGGGTTGTGAAATAGAAGAGGTAAGAAAAGAACACTATATCAACGTATATAATAACTAAAATGTCAAGAATATTTGTCAAAAACGAAAAATATTCTACGAATGAAGAATATAACATGAAGGTTATTAGTGATGTTTTCGACATCATAAGAATAATGGTAAACTTCAAAATATTCAAGACTGAATGAAAATTGAATTATTCTCTGTTTATATCTGTTCAATAAAAGATTCAGATGAATATCAAGAAGAAATATATGTGCACCGATATAACCTACTTTGAACAATTGTCTGAAGCAGTACTCGTTTTCCTATATGATACACACCGACAATGAGTAGGTTTGTGAACTGATGTTATATCTTCGATGGACTTAGTCCTACAATAACTTAAATAGAACGCTAGAAAAAGAGGCATTAGCTGAGTGTAAACGACATACGAAACACTAAGAAATTTTCTAGACAATTATTACAAATTTCCTTGATGTAATAAATAACAATGACAGAGGACAATGTATTCCATCAAATTAAAACTACGATTTATTAGCCCAATAAATAAGTATGCTAACCTTTTTTGGTGTTATTTAGGAGTTTCATCAATACAAAAGACTAGTTTATACAATGAATTATAATGACCACTATTTCAGAAAAGGAAACTCAAGTTAGTGGCAAAATAATAATTTAATAAAAAGATTACGATTAAGTATTTCTTTTGTTTTAGAAAAAAGAAAGATGTAGATATTTCAAATATCATAAATGATTGATTAGTCTGTAAATGGTCGGTTGCACTCGTAAAATAATCACATATCTCTTCTAGGCTGAGTGATGATGATGAGAATGACGACTTTAATGAGAATTTAAATAGAAAAAACATTGCTTTCAGTTTGTTTGAATCAATTAGAAAAAAAAAAGAATATAAATGTACAAATACATTGTCAGTGTTGATTACACAGGGATTATGAGGTACACAATAGAATGGAAATAGTTTAGGTTAGTACAACTTATTAAAAGTAATTAAAATATCATCTTGTCAGTATTCATTAATATTAAAATGATGCATAAAGCACTCTCTATGATACTCTACAATAAAAATAAAAATGAATAAAATTTACCTATGAATTGTGTACGATTTGGTCAGTGGTTATAATTTATTTGATTCGGAAGAATATTCAATTATATTACTAAGCTTATTGAATCATTTACAAGTGGCTTGAGGTAGGAATTAATTGATTAAAATTTAATAATAAGTACTATAAATAACTTAACTATATACTTCATAATTTCTATGTGAATCATGAGAAAGATTCAAGTGAAAATTTCAAAGAATTGACAAGGTTGAAATAGGAATGTATTCATTTTATAAATAAACAAGGCGTACAGTAATTTGAAAAGTATTCTACAATACATTTCATTTACCTGATAATCAGTTAACTCTTGCATAGTTTTATTTTGTTGGTCTTTTAGTTTGTTCAAATTTTCACTGGTCATCTGGGACTGATTAGAAGATGAAGTTGATTTAGTTTTCTCTGCTTCTAATAAGTGATTCTATATAAATAAGTAACAAAATATATTTAACGACTTATATATATATATATATATATATATATATATATATATATATATATATACTAGTCGGTCAGTCAAAACGTAGAACATGGTACACATGTACATCAGTCCAAGTTACCATACATTATTAGCAATGAGAGATTGAGAGTTTCAAGCCAAATCTCGGAATAGTAGAGGTAGTAACAGTATCAGTGGTAATATAAAAGATTAGGCATCAAAGATACGATTTTTAAAAAAATTATAAATTACTAAAATAAAAACAAAATTCATGAGGAATTTAGAATCTCAGAATTTGGTAGATGACAAAAATGGACGCATCTGCTCCGTTGCTGCTGATTTCGAGCCATTTTATCCAAATCAATTGACTTGTGTGACGCATATGTATTCCGTGCCCCTTTGTACCAATATTTATGTGTTCAAATAAATAATAAATAATAAATACATAGAAAAAAACCGCCTAGACCAAAATAACATTACATTGACATGACTAGACCTATTTCAATTTTGATTGTACTAAAAATACTCTGCTTCATATCTTTTGTATAATTTAAACTTGTATTAATCAAATTCGGTTATTTTTATTCTCTGAAGAAGGAGTTTACACGAAGTCACGAAACGTCAGAAATTTAACCTTCTACTTATTGGAAATTTATATATTATTTTTATTACAACTAAAATCTCTAAATAATGAACTGCTTCCTAAATGTCGGATGCAATTAACAGACACTAGACTTATTTACAAAGTCCAAGTTTATATACATGGTCGTGAGTTATACTTTGTGTATGGGTCAGTCACACTCCCTGACTGCTCAAACCCATGCAAATTCAACCATTCCACTCTAAAAGGTATTCAAAGACACCACAACAAATAGATAATGGTGTAAAAACAATCGCAAGATTATATGTATTTTGGTTGTTTGCATCTCCCTATCGATGGTTAGGACTGAAAATGATCAATCACTTTTAGTATGTGGATCCTATGCGGACTGCCTCAATATTGGCGTTAAGCCACGAATATTTTAGACAGATGTGGATATTGCTTGGCAGTATAATCCAGGACGAGAGTTTCGTCCTATTGCAGTCCTAAATATTAATGGGAAGATCCAAAAAGCCAATACATATAAATTAAAATTCACTTCACTACACAAGTAAGTAAATATCTGGACTCAGTAACAATCAGGTAACAATAAACAACATCTAGCCCAAAGGATAGAACGACGAAAGAAAACAAACCAAACATCATTTACAAGATAAATTGCAGCAATTCTAACGCAAACACTATGTGGGACAAAGTGGCTGCTCTCTCCGTCTACCTTTACATGATCAGCAATTAACAGTTAAACACTACAAAATAGCTTCACTTATATCAACGCACGTGGACAATTACGGACATGGAACTAATCAAGGGAAGGTCGGAAAATTGGACAAACAAAACAAAAAGAAAGTTAAACTTTAGAAGCGTGGCACTCTAGTCCAGTAACGATCAATAGGGATATCAAAACTGGTCAAAGCTATCAGACAATAAGAAAAAGGAGTCACAACAAGAAGGTTAGAGATCACGTTAGTAGAGAAAACAAGCAATACAAACAACGACTACTTAGTCATGAACAACATTCAACCAAATCCCAGGTCAACAGAACAAGCCGTCAGTCAATAATGACGAGATCCTGATAGATCACTTCTATCTAAAATAAGTACCAATGATGCCAAGGATAACTGACTGACTGACGTTGGGCAAAATGTTTCAGAATTAGTCACAGTGGAATTCTATATCTTGAATTTCAATATCCCTTCAAACATATCTTTCCGTCATTTCTTTTCGAATCATATTCTCAATGTGGCCTTTCGCATGATCACTACTACAATATTATTCCGATTCATCTGCCACTCATTTAGGTCATTTCATGTTGTTGTGCTGAATTAGTCCAGAAATCGTGCTAACGCACATTTTTCCAAGGCCCAACACTGTTTATAACTGATTAACACTGAGTCACAAGGGTTTGAATTTCATGGACAGCATCAGCTCCCTCTTAAACATATACGCGCCTTGCTGACCAGTCTCAATTAGTATAAAACTTGGATCCCGAGCATCCTGTTGACTGCCTCTAACTACGTAACATAGACAAAACCTTAAATAAATAATACTTTTAAAACATACTTACCAACTCTTTAATCCGATTTTCAAACATGGATAATTTTTCATTAGCAATTTTTTCTTGTTCTGTCAGTTGTTTATTTAATTGATCAATTTGACTCTTTAAACTTAGGACTAATTCATTATTCTGTTGTTTCAGTAAATTATTCTCGTTTTTGAATGCTTGAATTTCACTAAAATAAGGAAACAGACCAGTTGTAAAAAGTGTGAATCAATTCTTATTATGAAACGTCATAAGTCAGATAAACGTTGAAAGTCATATATTACTGAATAACATATATAAAGGTCGAAATAACTGGTGTAGTTTATTTTATTACGTGGAATAATCAAGTTGTGTAGTGATCTGACGACGGAAAACACTAACAAATAAATGGCAGTTTAATAATAACAATATGCATAGTCAAAGATAAAAAAATAACATTCACGTTTCATGTTTAAACCGTATTCTTTGCCCAGATGACTTCAATGGAATAGTGTGAGGTAGTTGGCTGTAGCTGAGATGAAAACCTGGACATAAGTTTTGCGATATTGAGAGTTCTTCAGTAATGTGTATTTGTAATCGTGAGGGAACCGGTGTTCCCTAGTGGACTTAGTCATCTAGCTTCATAGTCTGAGACCTTATCATTGAACTATTCGTGCAGCGACTAACGTCCTGACAAATTTTTACGGCTGATCAGCCATTAAGTAGCTATTGATGTCATGTCTGTCTAGTTTTTTTAGTGTCAATCGAATTCCCGACCGTTGTTGCCACCTTGATGTGATGGTCGTGCTTACCTATCGTGATGAAGCAACCGAGCTATATTGGCTGGAACAACTGTTCCTCAAAGTTCTACCATGTCAGACGGGTCGGTTGGAGAGCAGTAAGACTAAAAGCAATAAACCCAAGGTCCGAAGGAGAAGTCATACTGCTGACTCTACAGAGGTGTGACAACAGTAAGGTGTTTCCTTCAGACAACCAGCATGACAGCGATGCTGCCTTCCCACAAGGAGGGGTGGGGTTAGGAAAGATCCACCCTAAAAATACACACCTCGCCTTATCCCACGGATATCCGTCTCCGGAGGTAAGGTCTCAACGAGTACGGAGCTAACACGGAAATTACTCATAAAAAGTCGTGTGTGACCGACCTCAAGCAGTTGTCCCTTGGGTACTGCGGTCACGCTCTCGGGTCACCAAGACCACCTCTAATTCAATTTCTTTTTTAGGTACCTCCAGAACAACCCTTCCACTGTGTGGGCAACCGGGAAGTGATAACCGCCCTCATACCTCTAACAGAACTCAAGACGATCGAATTCTATCAATCGAGTTTAGGTGGCTGGGCTTAACGTGCACAAGTGTCGAGAAGAAATTCAATCGAAATACCTACAGATCTCCACAAATCACAGTCAGTCAGATTGAAATTGGGGTAAAGTAAAAATATGAGGCAATCTAAGATTCCATACAATTTCAACATTGCAATGAGAAATTGACGTAATGAAAAGAAAGAGTCGAAACCTAATAACTAATTTTAATTCCAAATATTAATAAAGAACTATTTGTTGCGTCATGTTATATAATAATATTACGATTGAGGTTAGGGATTGAAGTTAACTAAACAGTAGGAAAGTATGGTGAAAATGAGCGAAGATTACAGGTTATCACTAATTTAAAGGGAAGGGAGTAGGGAAAAACTAATCATTTAATGTTATAGAAATAAACATTAACCTAACGGTAGCTTGGTCAAACATTCAGCCCCCCCCTTATTTTTCAGCTGTACAAATATTTCAAGTAAACTGCCTACTTATGATTTGTTTGAACTGAAAATTTATGAAAGCTGTATGTACTTACGAGTTATTATGAAATAACTACAAATTATTGTTAGTGTAAGTACTGGAAAACTCAGACAGAAACACTAGCTATTGGCACATCTCCTTTATGATTTATTCATTGACAAAACGAGAGACAAGAATCTAAGAATTCAAGTGTCTTATATATGATAAATGGAGAAATCTATATATTGGCTGACACTTGTAATAGAACATTGACTGTTGAAAGCATTTAAAATATGCTTTAAATAATGGCGATTTGAATAAATGTTAAGGAGATTATTTATTGCAATATTGTGTGATTGGTGATGAGAATTCTTCGTTGTTCCAAAATTCATAGTATCAAATCGAACGATTACTACTGCTGTAAAAAACTTTTTAAAATAACTTGGTAAATCACAGGGATAAGACAAACATACTTTGAAGAGTTCTGCAACTGACAATTTAGTTTTTCAACTTGTCCATTAAACTCAACCGTTAATGACTCAATTGTTTCAGCTTGATGCTTTAGCATAATTTCTGCTTCAGCCTGACGCTCAGCCAACAAATTACGCAACCGTTCACATTCATTTTGGAAAGACTCGCCTTCGTTTTCAGTTGGAGTAATAGATGTCTCAGATACAAGCCCAGTGAATTGGAGAGATGGTTTTCCCTACATGTATGAATTGAAAATATATAATATGAAGACTGGAAAACATAATTGCAGTGACAAAAACTGACAAAAACAGTATTATCACAACTACAATTTATGTCAACTGGTTGACTGATGGAATGAAGAACATCATGAAATAATATGGAAACTCAAAATATCGAACACTTGAGTAACGTAAGAATAAACAACACGATCACCCAAGGAATAAAATGCTTGAGATGAACTAGTAGGAAAGAAATAACCGATCGTGAAGCAATGAGACATATGATATGGGGTCACTTATCTTTAACAACCAAGTAAAGTACATCGTATAATCGACATCTTTTTACATGACCATATCAAAACCTACAACTTTATTGATTTATGTCATTTTCTCTTCTGTCAATGGAACTTTACAAAACTCATAAAGAAATTTTACCTCAAATAAAACAAGGTTCAACAACGCACAAGCAATTTGGAGAACATGAAGAAAGGAAACATATCTTTACATCTCCTACTCTTAAATGCTGTTACGTCATAAAGTAAAAAGAAAGTAGGCTAATGAAATTTGAAGAGTACATGATAAATAAAATACATCGTTTGCATAAAAGTAATCTATATTTAACCGTCTCTTAAATGAATTGCAGTTCTGTACCATAAGTGAAGTAGTGAATATACACATATTTAAATGTTTATGAACCTAGAGATTATCTTATACACTTCGATTAATTTGTGTATTGATACGCATGAACGCAAAAATACTAATCGTCATTATCATGTTGTGTATACTAAAATCATAAACAATGAATATTCTGTCACAAAAATCAGTATGTTCAATTCAAAAATAAATCTCATCCTATTACTATTCTGGCAGTATCTCATCAATATGCGCGACACAAAAAGATAGAGACAAATGTAAGTAAACGAGAGAGGAGGAGAAAGGTGACAGAAATTTTTGCTCATTTACTTTAAGGTAAGAAGTTCAGCTAGATTCGTGATTATGTAATGGTACATGGATTAATACACCACAAAAAAAACAATACTCAGTAGTTGAGAACAAAGTGAACAGTCTCGAGTGAAATGCATACTCTGAACTGAAATAGGTGAAAAGATATTTTGAGAGAGTAAAAGTGAATGAAATCGTTGAATTCATAATTATTTTGACAAGAACAACTTTCATTTTCTAGCATGTGACGGTTATATCTTAATGAACGCCATGTTTGACATTTCCTTAAAATATTTGACGCTTTCAGACTCATCGGACAAGTGGCTCTTTATACTAACATGACATAACCTACTGATAAACAAAGCAAATTTTGTATTTTTATCAGAGAAAATAAGATGATAACACCAATAATATCAAGCCATAGACTATATGTAAGAACAGAACATAATGATCTGTATAACTGTTGACAGATCCTGCTTCGGTTTGGGCGCCCGGGCAGTATTCCAGCCCTTACATAAATCGAATGACAAAGTGTGGCGCATATATATTTGGTACCTCCTTGTACCAATGTTTATGTTTAAATAAATAAATAAAATGTTGACAGATAATATTTCATTAGCACTCAACTACAAACTATAAGCAATGTTGATATTATTGTAAAGCGAAATATTTATATGCAAATGTTCATATCGATAACTATTGGGGATAAAACTGTACGACAAAAAAACAACTTCCAATGTTTAGTTCACTTGCCTGAATTTGAGATTTGTTTTCATCACTTCGATTTGACACATTCGTTTGTTTTTGTAAAAGATCATTTAATTCTACTCGTAATTTATTTAATTCTAATTCCATACGTTCATTCGTTTCACGAGCTGACATTAAAGCTTCTTCCAGTTCAAATATTTTCGATTCATCGTCTGCATTCTGTGATTCAGTCGTGCTCTTGTCAATGTTTTCTTCTTCTATTCGAAATTGTAAATCTTCAAGATTTCTATTAAAATTTTAATGAATATATTAAAAATAAAACAATAAATAGTTATACTTAGTTATGAAGAGTTTTATTAAACAGCCAAGTATGACAAGATATAAACCTTTTTTGGTGTTAAAAACTCCAGATCAAAGTTTCGTGTTAAATGTCTTACACCACTAAAACATACCCGTAATCTTAAACAAACTGATGTTCTTAATATGCCTTGATATCAACTGGAGCAAATGAATAAACATGAAAACTTACCAGTACAGACAGGTAGAAGGCCGAGAGTCCAGAGAGAATACATGCCGAAGTAAATATACACGGTAAGTGAGAAATAAACGTGAGTGAGTTGTTTTTTTAATTCTCGTTGACCGCTCACATTTGTATCTGGATCCATTCACTGTTTTGCATATATACTTATGATTTATGAGTGGAGTGGCGGCTTAATGGTTAAGACGTTTAAATTTCCACTGCTAAGTTCCAGGCTTGAGCCTCATTCCATTCACTTCGGTTTAAAGCAACTGGGCAACCCTCACTAGCTCATAACAAAGTACCTGGTGAATGAATCAATTACATTTATATTGTCACAATTTATGGGCATATTTATTCACCCTGTAGTATAAGGATTCTATGTATTTTTAGTCTTGTTTTGACTAGCTAGTTGAGCAGACAGCAGGAAGCGCGTATTGTAGTCGAATATGACCACAAAACACTTTTTCTACTCAAACACAAAATATTTGCATATGAGAATTCAAACGTTCCAATAAATAGAAAGTATAGTAATTTAGAAGTGTGATGAAAAAGAAACATATACAGGAAAACAATGAAGAGTAAAAAATCAGATCATAAGTGAATAAATAATTGAGTTATGTTGCATGAATTAGTTATACATAATAGACTTTAAGGTCAAATTGTACAATGAATATCACACTTGTTTACTGAATAAGGTTGGGCTGTATTCTGAACTTCTCAAGGACAAAGTTAATTAGGCATAGTAGAGAAAAAGGTAAGTTATATCTCTCTCTCTCTCTCTCTCTCTCTCTCTCTCTCTCTATATATATATATATATATATATATATATATATATATATATAGCTGCTTCGGCCGATTGATTCATCTGAAGGGTGTTTACACCATGAACTGAATTCAGCAGGACAATCATTGAAAACTAAGCCATACCATTTTTATCTAATGTTAATCAGTAGAGCGCACCCGTGAAGCTACCTAAAAAGGGGAGCCAGGACCTTTAGGCTTACTTTCCAGAGCGTTACTGTAATACCTCCAAGTTGGTATTCAATGGATCACGTAAATGCATCATGTATAAACCAAATCTAGTGTCGACTACTGACTTACTAAATATGTCAAGCAAATATCAAGAGAAGAAAACGATATCATATGAATCTATCTCTCTTGTAAAGTTATAATTTTGTTTCAATCGAATGAATTTTACTTTTAACAATGGTAATTTTCTGTTCACTTCACTACATGAACGCTTATTTCAAGCTTCGATATATTTTGTCATTTTCTTAATCGAAACACCAAAACTTTGTTTTAATTATAATAACTAATTCTAGCAATTTACTAAATATTTTTAATTTGATTTTCAGCATGCATAAACTTCCTCAAACTATCTCTACGTTTAATTAAAAGAACTTTTGATACATTAAATTTGTATGATGTTTTTTAAATATTATTTGTTGCAAGTAACTGATGGCAACCGATCGGACTGAAAAGAATTCATTTCAGTTAACGTCGTTATTTTTGTAGACTGTCAACTGCATATAGTCATAAATCCTCAGTAATAAATATGAAATATACGTTTTAAATTCAAAAATATACATAGTCCTCGTTCAATACTACATCAATATCTGTAGTGAAAAGTTAAATTGAGCGAAGAAATTTATAAATCAAGTTATTAGTGCTCAGAACCCTCAATAATCCCTTGATAAAAAACTTTAAAAGTCGTAAGATTGGAGAGAATACTTTGACCAATCAGTGTTTATTAGGAACTCCAAGAGAATTCAAGAGAACAGAAAATTGTGTTATATCTTCAGTTTGTCACTGATTTTAGCACATTTTCGAGAAGCTTCCAGAAGCTTAGGGTTGTGAACTATATATAACAACCTTGGAAGTTAAACTGCTTTCATAGTTTTCGTTTATTGTTTTCCTGTTTGAAATTCAGAAGTAAATGGTTTCTGGATAGCGGTTAGGAAGTCTATGTCTAAGTGTCTAAGTACTAGGCATAAAAATTTGTACACAAAATTTATACTCAAAGATGACAATCACATAACTGTCTACTTGAACGTTATGTATAAAATACTTATGGGAATTCATGTTTGCTAACGATGACCTGATGTTTGTGAAGCTGAATACAAGAAAACACAGATTCAAGAACACCATTTACAGTCAACAGTACTACGTCATATATCGAGTTAAAGTAACAGAAAAACGAATCTGAGAGATAAATAACTCAAACAAAGAAGTTCAACTAACTACATGGTGAAAGTATGCACATATGGAATTAGAAGAACCTTACATGAAAAAAACCATATGCAACCATTTATGAGTTCAACAAGGCTGCTCTGTTAATAGTAAGAATAGATGAAGATAATCGAACAGGTGATCAGATATGTAAATATTCTTATTCTAGTTCAACTTAGAAAACTATATGTTGAGTAAAAATGGAGTGTTAGACGCAATTCGGTTAAAAAGAATATATATCATCAATTTAGCAAGTCATTAATTGTTAATTTAAATTATCCAAAGGACGAATAACGTTTCCACTTAGATTTCACAAGACACCATTAATCAGTAGATAGATGACGGAAAATATTTAAAGTCTGTTCCCCAATATAAATGTTGAAAATTGAACTCAATCTTCATATTTACTTGGTTTTATGCTTTCTTTCATCGTCTTTCAACTTCATCACACTATTTTTGATATCACTATTTCTATTTCATTCTCTTTATTTAAGGTAGCTATGACGACGTTAATTGTAACTATTTGGATTAGTACACATCATTGTATTTTTTTGTTTTATTTTGAAATATGAATTTTCCATTATAACTGGATAATATCTATACCAATGTTTTGAATAAACTTTATTTTATAGAATAAATAAATAGAAATTATTAAAATATCATTAACGAAAGAACACATCCGAGAGATTTCTCACTTTCGTTCTTCATGTAGCTTAATTGTTGTTTGCTCATGTTCATCGCGTAAATGTTGAAGAACAGCTTCCATATTTTCTAATTGTTGGTTCAATTGTTGTATCACAGCTTGCTGATTCAATGTTTCAGCTTGAGCCTTTACAAATATGATTTGTTTATTATTAAAATACGAGAAAAAAACACCGGTCAATTTAGTTAAATTAATTAAAATGATAATACGTGATAATTTCAGCGATTTATCATAGCAGTGGTGGTAGTTCTAAAAAAATTAGGACAATGTATGAATGTCTAAATCATTTTTAAGTCGATACCAAATATAATGCGCAAAATTGTATAAGCAATAATGCTTGTTAAGATAAAACTTGTAGAAACAGGTACAAGTTGAGAACAGATATTTTAAAGTATTAATTAATCACCCGAGCAATTTGGTGAATTAACCACGATTACTTATTTCCTTAGATATACAAAATAAGTGATAACATTCACGCCCATTGATCACACTCTTAAAGGCTGTAATCAGTGTTACTGAGTAACTTGAAGATCACTAACTATATTATTACCCCATACTATTTGCATAGGTGCATATATGTGATAAATCTTCTAAATGAACGCTTGAATCGGTTTGCTAGGGTTTTCTAATAACCCCAAGTTAAAAAGTACTAGTTCAACTAATGTTAATTTATTTCGGTCACTTATTTACTCTGAAGAAGTGGCTGACATTAAGTCACGAAACGTCAGGAATGCACTTCATCTACTCATTAGGATATAACAGAAATATTCACTAATAAATATATCCTGTTTCCATTTAAAGAATATGTAGCTTACATACTTTACACCACAGCAGTAGTAATTGTACAAGACTAGTAGGACCTTGTGTCTGTTCGTGAATTTAGGACATGGTGCCACTGAATAGAAAACAATTCTGTGTTAATATATATATATATATATATATATATATATATATAAACTGCCTGAATGGGATCTTAAAGATTCTGCAAGTTGGTAGGTTGAAACGTTATCAAACAAGGTTCCTAATAAAAGCCATTGATGATCCAACTGCAGTTTTCTGTTATAACCGGACGAAATTTACGACGATTTCTTTTTTACTTTAAAGTTGATTTTTTTAACACTATTTTTCTTGTTTCTTTCTACAATACCGCCATCTTTTATTCACTGATATCATTTTCACTTTATTCTACTTGATGTACATCCTTTTTTATTGTACTAAGCTTATTATATGCTATAAATTACAAAAATATTATTAATACTTCTACTGATTGTCAGTAAAGATTGAATTATCTATGAAATAATTGTCTTGGGTTCAATTCCTGGAAAAGTTGTGGTTGTTCACTAGTGGGAAGTCCCATATTAAGATGAGACAATTATCAAGTGTTCTATCCTTATCAATAGCGTTTTAGCTGAGATCAGTCTATGACGATACTACCTATAAATTAAATTAATCAATACAAAACCCCTTTACTTAATTAAGAAGTTTCATTTTTTCTTTAGATTCATTATACAGTCTCGATTCGAAAACATAAATAAATATACTGCATGGAGTAAATAAAGTTATGCGTATATGTGAGAAGTGTACTGAACGATATCAACTCTTCAGCTGGTTTTTTATGTATAAGTGAAATGAATACAACAGAATAATAACTTATTCAATGTTTGTTTCTATTGTCTTTAATAAAAAAATAAGTTACTTTTCTAATATTTGAGGACGACCACTAATTTCTCAAAGTAATAATTGAATTGTTGCTTGGTTAAGTAGTAAGACCTTATGTATAAAAACTACGGCGAGACCATAATTTATAGACTAATAAACGTAATTAAGGATATCAGATCTTGGATTTTGGCGCAAAATTCATTCATCCATACAGTTAAATAGCATTATAGTTGATGTCTGTTCGTGATGAAAACCCTTGCTTTAATTTTAACTCTAAATCTTAATCCTAAATCCTCATACTAATTTAAAACCCTCTTTTGATCCTACTAAGTAGGTGAATTGTCTCATGGCTACTTTATCGTCGCTCACAGGTCAACCATAAATTACAGTCTCAACAAAACTACTATTAAATATCTAGTTTGAGTACATTACGTTAACTGTTGAGAAAAAGTTTGACTAAAAAAATTAATTGATTGGTAAACTCTTTCTCTATGTGTACACATGTATGAAGAAGTTGCACGAACGATCCGTAGAGTCATTTATAATAAAATAATGGTTTAATTACTAGATACACTACATTTAACAACCAGTCGCCAACACTCTTTAATTTCTAATTCTTTTATTTTAGTGTGAATTAACTATCCGAATATTCCCGTGATAATCTATATCTTCTGAATAGTTGGAAAAAATTTATGGACTGGTGTCACGTTTTGATTTGGCCGCCTCTAACTTTCTTCCATTCATCCTCAAGGATAGTCAGCATTGCTCGTCGTGGTAATCGGTGTTCAGGCATATGTAACAGCCAAAACTGTATTACCAATAATTATATGCTCAAAAGTGACTAGTTTAAAGGTGGATTACCCAAAGTTATTCAGAAAAAAGCTATGATCTCTTTAGTCAACGAAGACACTGAATCAAGAGAGCACTATATCATTTATCTGCCAAATTTTAAAAAATAGTACTGTTTGATTCGCATTTATTGACCAACTGATATCGTGCTCTCTATGAGAGCTAAAACTCCTAGGTCCGGATATTTGTACGATGATGGATGACCACTGATATACAGGCTTAAACTCAGATTAACTTTCAACTATTTGTTGACTGATATATACTTCAATGGTTAAGATCATGAGTCAGTTGAAGCTAGACCACCATGGAAAACCTGGAAACACTGGACGGCCGTTTCGTCCTATTGTGGGACTCCTCAGCAGTGCGCATCCACGACCTCGCTCCCTGCGAAATCCGAACCCAGGACCTACTGGTTTCGCGCGTGAGCACTTATTCATTAGACCACTGAGCCGGCTGGCATCCAACGGTGTTAATGTCTAACTTCAACTAATCCATGAAATTGAGCTACACACCCACCATTGTCTTCAGTAAGTTACTATCTCACAACAGACCTGGTTGAACTCCACTGGTCACTACTTCTCACTAGAACTCCAGGATATACCTCTTGAAGCCAGTCACTAGTGAGCATATTTTGATTAATATCAGGTTTTCCATGGTGGTCTAGCTTCAACTGACTCATGATCTTAACCATTGAAATTACTATAATATCCACAAAACCCATCTGATATATATTTGTAAGGAAAATTACTTACGAAAGTGCAGGCTATTCATACTGTTTAAAATGAGACGGCCTAATGTTAACTTGTTTGTTGTAATTGACATATAAAAACAATATTTTCAAAGAATAACCAAAATGTTAAAGTATTGTACTGAACATATAATACTGAATAAAGCCGTTATTATTACTATTATTGTTAAATTTGCTGAAATCTACAATAAAGTGTATTTATAAAAGCATTGACAGAAATGGAACTTAATTGATCATGGAACGACTGACACATATAACTAAAATATAGGTGTTTACATGTTACTGTTTGCCAGTTATTTCAGATAATTATGTAAGATTAAGGGTGAAACAATGTGTTGGTCAAGTCCCCCTTACTCATTTCTCAATCGAACACATATTGATTTCTCGACTAAATAAAATACTGCAGAAGATATTTTAACACCCTCTCTACAACATTAGTAGTTTTTAATGAATTTTAATAAGTGACTATTTTAATCAATTATGGATATCTGTTTGTCATGAATTATTGTGAACAAATGAATATATGACAAACTAAGATGGGATTTCGTCACATAGTTTCACAATGAACAGCAAATCTTGTAAACCGAAAGATCTGAATCAAGGTGTCGACCAGTCTCTCCTGGACTAACTGATCAAAAATGAAATGATTTAGAAAATTCCACTATCCTAGTTGAATCTAATCTGGCCTGAAAAAGAGATGTATATCATCGAGTGTGTGCAGTTTAAACTGGCTATTCATATTATCACGTTATCAACTACTAATCATGGATATAAATAGCATGCAGAGTGAAAACAATAACAAACAGCTATTAGGCGTCCTTATTGTTGGCAGTGGCTTATCGATATGAACTAGATACAGAGAGGAGGAGAGAGGAAAAAAACAGTAGAATCAAACAAATTGTACTTGCCATTTCTCTTTCTAAAGTAACTTTAGCTAAGTCAGAACGTTCCATTTCACGTTCTTGTAAAAGTTTCTCGATATGTGCTTCTTTTTCCTTGACTAAACGCTATGGAAAACAAATAATACACCGCATTAATAGCGAAGTGATGACATCACATAATATCAGTGTAAAAAAACAAAAAAACATAGAAAAAGTTAATGGTCTCCATAAACTGACAGAAGCTATATGAAAGCGATTAATAATAGTAGTGTTAACTGTAACTCATTAAAAAAGTATATAATTATGTCTAACAGCTGATGCCCGAGCACCGCATAAGTCGATCCATGATGTTAGCTGGTCTAGGAAGAAGTTTGGAAAAGTTATAGGTGGCAAAACCAATACGTAGCCTTAGTTTACGAAGTCCCTAAGTATTGATCCGAGCAGCGTTGATAGATGCATACAACATCGTTGGGGTTTACATGATAATCACGATCAAGATTATAGCAACCGATGGTTAGAGACCTTGAATGACATGGCTCAAAATCGTTTGCAATGGCACGGGTACATCCACTCTTTGTGTTCTCCCAAATTCTAATCTTCTGAATTCTTTATGTCTTTTTTTTCTCTCTCCAAATTTATTTCATTGGATTATACTCCTTGAATAACATCTTCAAACCCTAATGTTTCCGACTACTGCTTATACTTTTACTACCCCTACCACTACGGGATTCGAATCGACCACTGCATCTCTGTGCTGTTGTATGGCAACCCGAACTGATGTACGTACGTACGAAGTTCTACGTTGTTATTGACTGACTGTCTGGCTGACGGATAATCACGATCAATGGTAGAAAAATTTCAACGACATGCCTCAGGATCAATCACAGTGGAACAGTATATTCGCATTTTCGTTCTGTGGTTTCGGACCGTATTCTCAGTATTTAGTCTTACGCAGCATCACTGCCACTACATTGTCCAAATTTCCTTGCTGTTTTTCTAATGTACCTCATAGTGCTAATGCAGTATGGTAACGTGGGCCAACATGTATGTGTCAGGCTCTACGTTGATCACAACTGACGTACTCAACTTTGAACTAAAACTGTCTGTTTAAGGCCTGGTGATTTTATGTGGTAGCTCAAACTATGATAATTAGAGAAATATCCTAACTTAAAACCTACTCGTTAATTTAATTGTTTGTATCACTTAAGGATCATACCAGACAGAGTTTGAACAGCTGTTCTGTCATTGTATTTCACTCAAGAGTATTTTATGTTACAATCCAATTTTAACAAATTCTAAAACTTACACGAGAGCCATTGATTACGTAAATATATACAAATTGTACATATTCCTTGTCTATTTAAGTGTCTATTGAACGTATTTTATCAGCGAAGACGGTGTCAAAATTCAAGGAAAATTTTATGTTAAAGTCAAGATATTTAGTGACAAAATAAAAAAGAAATGAAAGTCTATCACTAATTGATTAAGATCTCATCGATACGTTTTGATTTCTTAGAAAATCATTTATACACAAGCCAGCTTCAGTAAGAAGATTTCTCTTTTTACATGTACATGTCAAATCATTTACTCGGTGAAGCATCAATGGTCATCCTTTCTTTCACAAGTTTAAATACAATAATCATAGTTAAAGTGTATAATAATTTCTATCAGCTGAATCAATCATACCATACATTGTAGTTTATTTTTTTCCGAAAGAGCATGAAATAAGGACTGAATTGTTTACAATGAATTATCATAAAATTGAAGGTATCACGTGTTTAACATGTAAAAAAAGCAACATATCCAATCATTTATCGATTATTATTATTATTATACTACTTAAAACAACTTTACTCCTGTTTTGCATAATGAAAACAATTACCCGTCACCATTTGATTTAGATTTTTTTCCTTTAAATTCATAGTTATGGATGAAATTATGTGAAAACCAGCATAGTGACGAGAAAATAAACTCTCATAAAAAATGCTTGAAAAAGCACACACATATAATAATAATAGCAATAATAATAATAGGGTTTTTGTATTCCAAATAATAGGTGCTATACTGGCAAGCACAAAACTTTTCACGAGAAAGTAAGAAAAAATCGAAATTTGTGACAGATTGATATTAAGTTACAGATTATTTCACATTCTCTTCAACAAAACGGTATTGATTGATCAATAAATAATAAGGGATTTTTATAGTTTTTATTGTGTTGATAATGCGATTTATCAATTACAGATTTGTGTAATTGGCTTTGACTTACACTTTATGAGAGGGACAGCAATAATACCTAGCTGTCTAAACTGAAGTATATGGAAGAGGACTTAAACCTGAGATCTTATGTTTGAAAGCCGGACGCCTTAGCTACTAATCCACTATTGAAGATGACATAATAATAGATTGATCAAAGGTTAAAAACTAAGGAGAATTTTAAGAACCACTCATATATTTGGTTATTTCCCAAGATAGGTATGTAAATATTCTGACAGAGAGAAGGCTGCAAAGCAGATAGGGACAAAACCTCCCTGAAATGAAATATTAATTTTACAACTTTATATATATATATATATATATATATATATATTGACTAAGTGAACTACCACTTACTATCCACTTTCCTTAAGCTACCCATATTAGAACCAATGATGCATTTCAATATTTGATTTTTCACGTAGAGCATACATAACCTTAACAAGTGACATACTGCTTTTCAGTTATATATATATATATATATATATATACCTAATTTAACAAGTGCTTCCGTTGAGCAATAAGAACAGCGGTTACCAAGTTTCAATAACTTTCTAATAAATAAGATCAGACTTGTGAAGTTACTTCTATCAAGATAGATTATAAAAACCATAGGAAGATAGTTTATAGCATGAACACGTATCGGCGTACTTCTAAATGATGAATCACATTTACTATGTCTGGACTAAACACATTACTTTGATGAAGAAATTAAAAAGGAAATAATGGTGTTTGGAAAACTGTAGGTCGTGATATTATTAAATAATTGCTCTGTATAGTAAACAGTGAATACTACTATTTATATACCAAACAAAACGCTTTCCACGAAGTCTGAAGAAAAAAGAACACTTATAGTTGAACAACTAACCTGTAGTGTTTGTAAATTAGATGTAGATTCTCGACGATTTGGAGTGTTCATTGATGATATCGGTCTTCGATTACCAGCTACACCATTACGACTCTTGACATTGTAATCAAACAAAATATATTATTATTATCAAAAGGGGTTATGTGGATATTATGGTAATTTTAATAGTTGAGATCGTGAGTCAATTGAAGCTAGACCACCATGGTTCGAATCCCGCGAAGGAGTCCCACAATGGGACGAAACGGCCGTCCAGTGCTTCCAGGTTTTCCATGGTGGTTCAGCGTAAGTGATTATATCAATAATAGGAAATAAAATTGTTCGTTTCAATTGTTTAAATAAACAGTGGGATGAAAGAATTTGACAATGTTACAGAGAGAAGTAAGCATATAAAAGACATTATTTCTATCTCAAATCAGTTTTTAATAGTGATATACTGTTTTATTTGAATACAATAAGCCTAATGATAAAACTTTCTTTGTCATTCTGAATATTATATTAAGACAAAATATTTATTGGTATTGTGTTAGCACAACAAAATAAATATTATAAAGGTTATTTTATTTCAAATCAATTCGAGTATCTAAACAATTTGCCTGGACGTAATTCATTCAGATATCAAAGATTTTCATGGATGAATAGTTATGAATTCATGAAAACAATTAAATTTATTATCAGTATAGGGTTGTGGAGATTGATGAGTTTCACCGAAATCATGAACCGGTTAGTGTTAGACCATCATTAAAAGCCTGGAAGCACTGGATGGCCGTTTCGTTTTGGTATGGGACTTTTCAGCAGTGTGCATCATGGTTTTAGTGATGGAATTTATGTTATCTAAATGATTTATCCCCATCCGTTGGTTCCTTAATTCATATTCCTTTATACTATTATTGACGACAAAGTTTGGTAAAACAGTGAATTAGCCTACGTTAAGATCATTTAGATTACAAATCAATAAGTCAACCAACCGGTTAAAAAAAACTAAAATATTAACATTAAGGTAGAAATTTTTATACGAAAACTCTGTTTCATTGTAGAATAATGAAACAGAACACACTTTCGTCTAGTCTGACCACCATATTTTTTGTATTTATCTAGTATAAACTTCGTATATGTTGTTACGGTAACTTTGAGTATTTTTCCTGCTTATTAACTAATCGTCAAGTGTGTGCAAAATCAGTAAATAAATGAGTTTAATTCGGTTTCTTTGACATGCTTTTAGAGAGTCAGTAAATCTACATCCTCATTAGTCTTCTGAGTTCTTACTTTTTAATTTAAAATCTGGTAAAACCATTTTTTTTATTGCACAGAAACATTCCCCTCACGGGAAGTTTGCGCTTCTCTAGATAATTCAGACTAAGTGCTGGTGACTTCATAAACTAGCGACTTGTCATATTTTAATTTGATGATTTTTAGTTGAAAGCACATAAAATAGAGAGAGACCAACCTGTAATCCATTATTAACTTGATTTAGACGATAAGAGCGAGATACTGAACTCAAATTGGATGAATAGGATAGTAACGATTCTTGACTCCGGCTGTAAAAAACAAAATATGAAATGATTTTTTGCAACCAATTAAATAAGAACTAAATTTCAACAAGGATAAACTATTTTAATTAAACTTCTGAAAACATTTGAGACTAATACAAAAATCCATCGAATTTTATGAAAATTGGTTTCGAGAATGACGAGTCATTCCCGTTATTCTCAAGAAGCACATCACAAATTTAAAACAAATCGCCATCACTTGTACAGATTTTCGCTCACTAAAATATAATTGTTAAGTCTCAGGAAACATAAGACTTTTAGCGTGGTAGCCTTAAGGTTTCTCAATTCAGAAATGATTTACACTGCAAACTGATTTAATTTACACAACTACTAAAAACTAAGAAGCGCTGTATGATTGATTTCTTTCAGAATTTAACTCCTCGATAATATGTATCCATAACTCCACGATGGATCGTAATAAGGACTTCCTAGTAAAACTCGAACCCATTGAAGTTCAACTACACTGGTTGTGAGACACATATTGACAAAGACAATGACTAACGATCGTGCAAAATATTGAGTTAACTAGCGTTTAAAATACGGAGTATTAGGTTGAAATGCAAAGCTCTTACGCCAAGGCCTGGAAGTGCTGAGTTCGAACCCTAAGAGGCCATGAATGTGCAGTGATGAACTCCATATAGAAATAAGATACACATCTAATGCTACATTACATTTAACAGTTGAATGCCTATGGCTATTCTATGATGTAAACTATTCTAAAAATGTAGGATTTCGTCGATGACATCAAGGTTTACAGGACTAACATATTACCATTAAAACATCAAAATTGATGTGAGCTTTTTGTGACAACACACATGAATTTTTCGTGATTAAGTACACTGTGTTTAGCTTCAAAAGTTTAAATAAAAATAACAAAGTCGCAATTAATTACAATAAAAGATTTACACTGCTAAAAGTAACAAGCAATGAAAATCTAGATTCTAAAAAATAAAACTGTCCATTAGAAATGAAGTGTTGCAAATAAATATGTCTGTCAAGTATAGCAATATTTTAGAAGAGATACACTCCACTATGAAATGATTGGTAGTTATTGTTTCATAAGGACATATTAATCACTGCATTCAACTAGAAAAATACATATTCTTATGCTTAAAAACATGCCAAACGTCATTTATTTTACGAAGCATATCGCTTCAACAGTTGTGCTAGCGAAACATTCTTCTCATTAAACGATGAAAAGTGACACGAGAACCCATCATATATAATGATATTCTCTCTTTTTTAAGGGAGATGTGATAGACAGTGTTTAACGCATTCTACGTAAAATTGATTAAAAACAACGGAAACTACTGTTTTAAAGATAATTAGGCTGGTACTATGTCAAGTCCACATAGGTTATTCTAGCCTCTGGACAGACCAATTTATTCATTCTTCTCAAGCCACATTTTTACTTTGTCACTTATTCGCTTATCAACCTTGACTTTTTATGTAAGCGTATGTGTGCGCATTTCCTATCTTACTCATCACATGTCTGTAACTTATTTTTGTTCAACTAGAAATATCAATTCACGCTTGGCTAAACTGAGTTAGCTCACTCACCTTCTCCATTATACGTCATTTTGTTTTGCTTCTCTATCTGATCAACGACTGTACAAAATACACATATTTAAAACTTCATTCTCGTATTTGACTTATTTAATTCTGTTATTCACTAACACGATTTAAGTCGATGATTATATAAGAGAACAGTCAAGATGTATATTTCAATAGCAAACAGCAAACGATCTACCTAGAGTCAGATATCCGGGCCACTAAAAGCTCTATATCCGAAGTTATATTAAACATGCCTGTACTACAACGAATCGATTCTAAAAGAGAATTCATCTTATGGAGATGGGAATAAATAATTGGCCGTAGATAGCTTTTTATCAACTAAGCGACACAAAACACTAAATGAAGAGTAAATGAAAAACTTTTTTAATCAAGGGAAGTTGTGCCAAACCAGATCATCAGAGGTATATTTCTGAAAGACCCTTAAAAGGCACATGCACAATAACTATAGCACTGATGTATATATGCCTCAACTTGGAGGGCTTAATAACTATTTTAAAATCTCTAAATAAACAAATCACCAGAAAGTGAGATGAAGACAGAACATTATTATCTTCGTTTGCAAAATTACGATTAATAAATAGAGACAGTTAACCATGTATGTGGACAAGGGGAGATATGAACACCACGATTTCAGTGAACGTCATGAAACACTTATTGCGGAAATTTAAAGTGTAAGTATTACGTTTGGTAGCAAAATTCATTACCACATTCTATGTTCAATGATACTTTTTTAGCTAAACCTGGAGAGGAGGAGAGAGGAAATTGAGATGAAAAGCGTAGTAGAGGTACACATGACCGATATAATTCGCAAGAAATGAAAAAATTGAAGGATGAAAAGTACGTTGCTTAACTTAGTGTTTGATGGGAGATGCAGGACTAGTGCGACTGCTCTACTGAGATTGATTTCGGGCCATGACATACGTCTCAAACAATAGATTATTATCTCAAGGGTGCCAACACGGCTCATGCCGACAATCACTGAATTGGTGAATTGATGCCACATCTTCCAACTTACTCTTATGTGGGCACTAAGGTGTAGGGATGGACGATCGCTAGTAATGCACTTTGCATGTTTCAATAACTTTGATCGTTTATGGTTTATAACCTTATCAACCGAGTAGCGATTTCTGTCTAGTACTTTACGCCTAACGCCATATGCCCTGACATGGCCAAGGGTGGAAAGAGTCCATTCTTCATCTCGGAATCTTCTGTCCGGTTTGGCTGGTGTTAGTGTCGCACTAGGTCCCAGAGCAGAAGCATTACTAATCCATTGGGTTCTCTTAACCAGTCGATTATGTGCCGTTAGACCAGAAAGCTTCATCAAAGTGATTAGAAACCGGTGTGGGGAACGACGCCCATTCGTTATCTCCGCCTAAGCCCCGACAGATTCCAGACCAGATGTAGTCAGGGATCAGTTCTACAATCAGTTAGATGATACTCTCAAAAAACATCAAGCTGGAAAGACATTGTAATGCTAGCCGGAAATATAAATGCTCTGATCGAGAGTCTAGGTACTGAGAAGCGTCGTTTAGGTAGCTAACAGGGACTCATTAGCCACAGGTGGATTAACAGTAGACGCCTCCCGCAGCTTTGCACAGACCACAAGACTGTTACTCCTTTTATAGTACTTATCTGGGCTCTGATCATGCCCTCGTTTGCGTTAATCATATCTTACGTCGCAGTGGTTAACAAATTTGTCGTTCTAAGCCGATTGATGCAACCAAATTGATTACAACTTACATTAAAACCAATTATTAAGCCAAACTAGGTTCAAGGTTAGCTAACTTCCTATCAGCGGGATATCGATTAGATTAAAGAACGTTCCGTGCAGGATTGTGTTGGGGCACACTGATTGGCTATTTCTTAACGAATCGGAGCTAGCGTATGCTTAAAGAACACTCTAGAATCTTCTTACGTGAAAATTATAAATATATTAACGTTTTTCGTATTTTGATTCTTACTTACATTCAACCTTGTTATTTAGAATGTAATTACGTTCCTGTTCAACATTGTTCTGACTTGGGGAAGTACTGTCCAAGAATGCTAAGCAATAAGAGTAGTTCGGTCCCGATCGAAGCTGCTACCTTGACGCGGTGGTCGGGCTTGCCTATCGTGATGACCCAACCGAGCTATATTGGCTGGAACATATGTTCCTGCAGGTTCTACCATGCCAGGCAGGTCGATTGGCGAACGGTAAGACTAAAAGCAGCAACTCAAGGTCTGAGGGCGAAGTCGTACTGCTGACTGTAGAGAGGTGTGACAGCAGTAAGGTGTTTCCCTCGGACAACCAGCATGACAGCGATGCTGCCTTCCCACAAGGAGGGGTGGGGTTAGAAGCGGTCGACCCTAAAAATGCACACCTCACCTTACCTCACGGATTTCCGTCTCCGGCGGTAAGGCCCCTTGAAGAACGGAGCTAACACGTCAAAAACCTTCCACAAAAAGGCCGTGCGCGACCGGCCTCAAGCAGTTGTCTTTTGGGCACTGCGGTCACGCTCCCAGGTCGTCAAGACCAACACTAATCCAATTTCCTTTTCAGGTTCATCAAGAAATACCCTTCCACGGTGTGGGCAGCCGGGAAGTGACAGTCAGTCAGTCAGTAACAACGTAGAACTTCGTACGTACGTACATCAGTTCGAGTTGCCACACCACATTAGCACAGAGATGCAGTGGTCGATTCAAATCCCGTAGTGGTAGAGGTAGCAAGAGTATAAGCAGTAATCGAAAAGATTAGGGTTTGAAGATGTTATTTAAAGAGTATAATCCAGTGAAAGAAATTTGGAAAGAGGGAAAAAGGGACATGAAGAATTCAGAAGATTAGAGTTTGGGAGAACACAGAGAGTGGATGCACCTGCGCCATTGCGAACGATTTTGAGCCATGTCATTCAGGGTCTCTAACCATCGGTTGCTGTCATCTCGCGGTCCCCAACCAGGTAGTCTACACCTACCAACATGACTCAGTTCACTTGTCAGTGACTTCATGGACTTGTGCCATGTTTCGGTTTGGCCGCCCCTAGCTTTCTTCCAACCTACTCCTATACCACTGAACATAGCACGTCGAGGCAGTCGGTCGTTGGGCATACGTAACACGAGTCCCAGCCATCTCAACTGATGAAGTTTCACTACGTCATCAATTGATTTGCCATCCTTACCTAGTACCCGTTTCCTAACAACTGTGTTACTTACTCGATGGTCCCATGATATACGAGCAATGTTTCGAAGACACCTATGATCGAATACTAGTAACCTACGGATATCCTCTACTCTTACCGGCCATGTTTCACTGCCATAAAGTAGGACGGAACGAACTGCTGCGCAGTAAACACGTCCTTTGGTTGATAGACGGATATCTCGCCTACGCCATAAATGACGCAAGTTGGCAAAAGCTAGTCGAGCCTTCTGTATCCGTGCTG